AGCTCGCCGTAAAGGTGATCCCGCTGCGTCGTCGACGACTGACACTTGTGCATCATCATGGTAGAGTTGAACTCGCTGGTGAGTAGCGTTGTCGAGAATATCGGGAAATCGTACAAGACTCCTGTGATAAACGGGTCGACGATGTCGTCCTCCCCCAGAGGGCCCGCGTGGCTGAAGTCGGTGACGTAGTAAGCAGGGTCCGTAAGTGCGTGATCCCATCCGTCTTTCCAGCCCTGGAGCGAGTTTTGCAGTCGTTCGTGCTCCGTCGCGAAATCTTCCGGTGTTATCTGGCCTCGGCTACCTCGGGCGAAGAGGGTAGACATTTCTCTCGAAATAACCCGCAGGCGACCTGATTCCGCTTCGAGTTTCCAGTGCAAGCTATCTGCTTCGTCCGAGACGGCTTGCTGATCGCAGTATTCTACAAAAGTAATGAACCACTCGGGGGCTAGCATCGTGGGAAAGCCGCCCATCATAGCGATGAAGATGTCGAAGCGTCCGTACCAAGACACAATCATTCTACCAAGAGGAGTCTGCGTAGCTGTCTCAGGCGTGAACAAATGTGTCAGCATCTCGAAAGCAGCCTTCTGATGCCCCATAAGGTTGATCCAGTCGCCCAGATACTCCTGTATCATGGATTAGCCACATCTTTATTTTCCATCTAAATTCGGGGACTGCCATACCTCGATTGTGGCAAGCTGAAGGACGGTCAATAGCATAGCAATATTGTGCTTCTCCTTCCTCTTCAGGGAGTTGAGCAGCAGGATAACACTCTTATTGTAGTATTTCAGAAACTCTTCCATCTTGCCATTGGGATCTTGTATCGTACGTTGGTACGCTGCGAAGCCCACAACGGCGTATAACAGAGCCTCGTTCTGCAACGCGAAATTCGGCAGAATTACACGGAAGAACTCGTGTGCGTCAGTGAGCATACAGTAATGATAGTGAGTAACGTTTTCGCAGAAGTATTCCAGATGCTGCCGGAGGTCGGGGGGCAGATGGGACCAGTCGGCGTGACCACCTAGGGATAATATCGTAAGATCCGGCATCGTATATGCGGTAGTTGTTTGGCTGCTCGCGGTAGACGTCGAAGGCGAGGCGCTCTTGGTCCCCTCGTGTGATGGCGTCTCGGAGCCGTGCCGCGTACCTCCCGTACGTTGCAGGTTGAAGGACGAAGCTGTGCTGCTTCTACTCGGCCCAGAAAACTGTCTCTGGAAAGACTCTTCCTCTCCTTCGTCCTCGTCAAGGATGGTGTCTAGACCGCCGGGTTCGGTCTCGTCCTCTCCATCTTCAGCATCGTTGGAAGAATCCGGACTGGCCTGCTGTTGAGTAGGAGCTCCATCTTTGGATGAGGAGCCTTGTGCTGGAGATCCTTTGGTTGTTGGTGGTTCCGGATAGATACATTCGCGGCTACCTTTTCGACACCCTATGGTTACGTTAACGATACGAATCACAGATACCTCTTCGGCCAAACATACTATCGCAGACTGGCCGGCTTTCATCGCACTACATCGAGTTAGAAGGCTACAATCTTGAAGAGGACGCGGAGACATACCTTTACTCTTCTACTCCTACACATGTAGCAACCGGATCGTGTTCGTCGGTGCTTGACGTGATCTAAACCCGAAGCCGACTTTCTTCGGTTCCTCGAGGATTTGGGGGTAGTAAGCCCAACGGGGTCGGGGAAGCCTGTGAAATATCCAAGGTTGGGATATGGCCCAGGCATGGCACCGCCCATCATAGACATCTGGGCGCCTGGAAATTGGGGTGGATGTATGTCCTGCGGGCTTGTAGCTTGGCTAGCTGCCACCCCCGTCATGGAGGTGAGAAAATGGTGATAATAGTCCCCCATACTTGCGGCTAGAAGGGGCCGATACCGTGGTTTTTAGGCGGAAGGCAAGGGACTGAGAAGGTGAGATTTTGTGGATCGTGTGCTACGATGACCTTGGGGGAGCTGGCATGCTCTGCCTGTACTCAGAAGGACCGCGAATCCGTATCCCTTGGAGTTCGTGGGTCGCTAATCGTGACGGCAATGCGAGCTATGGTGGGGTGGCTAGACTAGGCGGAATATGTCCAAGCAAGCCAAAGGATGGAGTGAGCCAAGTTGTTGTTAGGGAATGAATTCCTTGAGGTAAAAAGACGGAGAGCTGTGGAAGGAGGAGCCGCCCGGATAGAGGGACGCGGTGGCCCGGCTAGGTAGATCAAATCGAGAGCTTGAGATGGCGAGCTGGTAGAATCTGATCCGGGGCATGGATACTGTTCCTTCAAAGCTGTAGCTTGAGTCCGTGGCAACCTACGTATTTCATAAAATGGCTAGGGGAACAGAAACGGCGGACCCGGCATATGTCGAGAGGGGTCTGTGGTTGTAGTTGTGAGCGGACTTGGGAGGGAGATTATTCGCTCCTTGTTTTGGGGGAAGTAGTGAAAGGGCGAACTGTTCCACTCAGAAGAGGGTCTCGGTCACCCAGAGCCACACCAGTTCTTTCGATAGCCTTTACTGCGGGTGGTGATGACGGTAGTGGGGCACTGGGACGGCCACAATGTAACTGGGTTGACTGGAGAGCGGGTATCGCAGCTCGCGCTCTGTTGATCTGCTGGTAGGATTGGCGTTATGGCGGGGGCTCCTGGAAGCTACTACGCTAGGAAGGGAAATCAAGACCTAGACAGAGATGGTGAGGTGGTGTTGTCTGGCCTCCGTGTCTGAATCGATCCCGGCAGAGCTCAAAAGCACTTGGAAGCTGTTGAGAATGTGGAGGGCCGTTGTGGTTGGCCTAAGCCTAGTTGGAACTCAAGGGCCTGATGAAGCGCTAACTGGCATGAAGATTGGTCCTGAATATCGACGAGTACGAAGAATACGCCGTATTGTATAACGAAATACACGGCAACGGCTTGGTGAGTAAGGTATCGATGTGCCTCGTTCCACTCACTTGGGCCCGACAAGGGGATTAGATCGAGTGAAAGGGTTGCCGAAGAGATTCAAGCAGATGAGTACGTCAGATCTGAAGACTCGAAGCCAGCGGTAAGGCCAAAAGTGAGACGAAACTGCCCAAACATGTGGGTATTGTAGCTGCGTTACAGCCAGAAGAGGCGTGGAATGTAGATTCCAAAGTCAAAAAGCCCGCTGGTGTGTGATGGTGTACGGGTGGGTGGCGCCAAGTAGGGAGCGAGAGTCGACCAGATGGGCAGCTCTGAGGTGGCCTAGAATACGTGACTTGCCGAAAATGTGAAATGTCTAGACGGTTGGACAGTCCACAACAGTAATAGGATACTCAGGAATGGACTGGGATAGAGAACGGTTGTGCTGAAAAGTGATGAAAGAAGCTGGCGCGGGGTGAAGGGGTTTTTGGCGCAGCCACCCTTGCGAGCTCTGTGTCTTGCTGGTGGTTCCCTAGCCTCGGGAGAAGCGGTTTGGAAAGACGGCCCTAGATTGATTAAGGTTCCGGGATGGCGCGTGAGTGCTGGGGCGGCTGAGGCGTGGCAGACGCTGGCAAGAGGCCGATCCAAGGCGTGATATGGAGTCCCGTCACCACCCGTGTCTACTGATGAACGTGGCAACGGCTGGTCGTCCTAAGCCCAAACGGCTGTGAATGTCCGGGCTGTGCTCGAATTGGTCTGGCCGTCTGCCCAAAGTCTTAGCATAGGGAGAAGAGTAAAGATCGTCCGACCCAGCGGTACCGGCAGACAGGTTCGACTCACCCCTCCGCCTGAAGAGATGGGTTTCCTCCTCACAAGCGTACAAAGTACAAAGGACTCTGGATCAGGAACTGGACTGAACGTCAGAACCCGGCGGAAGAAGAGGCACAGATAAGCCCTGGCAGAATGATGAGACAAGGGTCTTGTGTCTAAGGTGATGTAACGGGCCAAAGCAAGCGCCCAGGTCGGTGGTGGGGGCAAAGCTGGGAATGAGCTTGCTGGGGTTGGGCGGGAAAAGCAGATAATTGAAGCCCTGTCAACATCTGGTTGTTGAAGTTTGATCAACAGCAGCCTAGCTGAAAATGATGTGGAGGTTCCTGTTGTTGATCTGATGTTCTGATCTCGGATCCCGCGAGAGAAGAGCCGTGACAGCTGGGCATACTCGCCCTGGAATCGACATGGATGAGTGAACGGCGGCGTCCTCACTAGTTGCTTAGTACGACCCAAGTTGCACATACACCGCCGCCAGGCCCATCCTTTGAAACCGCGTTCCTTAAAAGCCTGTCCGCGCAAATTTGCCGTGTAGCGCAAATGCGTTGAGCGGCGCCAGCGCTCGTCTGGCAGTTTAAGAAAACCGTGGGCGCGTTCTTCTGTGCCACTCTAGCGCGGAACTTGTACAAGCCCTGGCGTTCAGTCACAACTCTAGGCCTATGAGCTCGTGTTAAAAGGTCACTCTTAGACAATGTGGGCCTGGTCCTGTCTAAGACGGCGGAGATTGATGATGGGAAGCTCCCGTGGATCTATTGACAGCTACCCGTCACAATGGGTGTATTACTTGGAATGATCGTATTCGAAATTCGAACCATATGAGCAGTATCCGCAGCAAGATGTTCCCCGCCGAGTCCGAGCTATCGTTGCTAGCAGAATTCGCAGAAAGGAGTCAAGGACCCGTGGAACACGCCCAATTTGCAGCGGGACGAACGGCCAGAGGCACGGGGGAATACCAGAAGAAGGGGACTGAATGGCCAGGCACTCATGGATGCTTTGCGTGTTCCCAGGCTGTCGGGGCGTCGAGCCATGGGCTTAGTGGAGGCATCAGGAAGAGGAGCAAGACGGAGAGACCAGCACCCCTCATCAACCCTAGCCACACCCACACTCCACACCCACTTCCAGGTCTTGGGTCCCAGGTTTCGGTGTCATTGAAATGGTGAAGGGGGTGTCGTTGGAGCGGGAGCACAGACATGGGGTCGGGAGGTGCGGCCGGGGTGGTGTGGCGGAGGGCGCAAGGGCAGACAGAGATGTGAGAGCAGTAGCGGCAGCATAATCTAGCTTTCTTGGCTTTGGGAACCTGATGCCGCTAGCGCCCATGCTTAAAAAGGCGGCGGTCCTGAGGATGGGACGAGAAATGAGTTCAGGTCGGTGCCGTTGCCGCCGTCGTCTGTTGCTGTCGTGTAGCTGCCGGTGCCTGTGCTCAGTGACATGTCGCACTTGAGTGGAGAAGCTGGATTTGGAGAACGGGAGTCGGCGGGATCGTAGGGGGCAGGCGTTGACAATAAGATGCAGCTGAGGGAGCGACTCGATTCAGTATTGAGCCGTCTGACGGTTGAGAAAAGGAAAACGTCGCAGCTGAAGCACCACAAAGCTAGCAAGATGCCAGGGGAGAGGACTGGCCCTAGCAAAAGGGTACCTGATTGAAAGTTTCTCCGCCCTGTTGGTTCATGTAATCCCAGTGCCTGGGCGGTCCCCCCCTCCCCCCTGTGGTCCCGAGAAGCTCGTTGAATTGTCTAACCTCCTTGAGTCTATGCCAGAATCCTTGGGTAGGTATTGCGTATCCGTACGCGATATGACGGCTATGTCGAATGAACAGAGGAGATCCCAGGGACGACGGCTGATGTGCAAGATCGAGAATATCAATTGCTTGCAGTGAATACACCAACGGACCACTTGCTCGGGGGCGTCTGGCGCTGGCGCATCTCGACCAAAAGCGGAAGAGCAGTACTGTCTGTGTACGCAGTCCGGATATAGGGAAACTTCGTAGGAGTCGACGATCGAGACTGGCTTCCGTCCCAGGACAGTCGGGGCAGGGAGGGCCATGCCAGTGGTTGAGGCCAATGGAGGCGTCGGCTGTGGATCGAAAGCGGGCACTGATCAACAATCCCAACATGCAAGCAGAGCAACATCGTCCCATGCCAGGATGAGCGGCAGAAGGCGAGGGTGGTTTCTTGCTCCGTAATACGTACTTTGCGCAGCTAAAAAGGCAGCCAAGTGGGCGTGCCAAAGGTTGATCTGACAGGGCTCGTTCAAGGCGGGAGGTCGAGCCTGCATTAGTCGATATGCAGCAAACGCTGTCGTGCGCGGTAAGGAGGATTTTTGGAAGAGGAGCAGCTGGGGACTCAGGAGATGGAGAAGTGTCCGGATTGCTTTGTACTGATGGCTAAATTCATCGAATTGATCATGGCCAGCGGGCGTAGGCATTGCATTGTGCAGTACGTCGTACCCATATCCGTATGTAGATGTCTTGTTGAATCATCCAGATTCCAGTTGTGTCCAGATAGGTAGCTCGAGGTTACAGGGGGCTTAAATTGAGATGCGACAACGATAACCTGGGCACCGTTTACTTTGATCCAGATTGGTTCAGACCAGGCTTTGCATATCGCGTGGCCTGACCAGCCATATCGAGAAGTGAAAAAAACGAAAAGCGTGGGAGTCACGTGGGAATTGTGTTCGTCGTGTTGTATCGCAGCACAGGCACGATGGCATGGAACTCGAAAGACCTGACGCAGAAGAGATGGCAGACGAACAAGGCATCCGCGGAACGGAAGGAAAAAAAGAAAGTGGAGAGTAGCCCGAGTGGGGATGGTGAGTTTAAAAGAGTATTATGTAATTAATGTGCTGCAAAAGAGGGCAGGAAAAGCAGGCCCCAAGCAGGCCCTCTTGGATGATCAAGTCTCGAAACAGCAGGAGTCAAAAACTGGACGGGCCGGGTCCACCTTCCAAGTTCCCACGATTCGGTCCCATGGTGCCGTCGGCGCCGGGGGCCTTTTGTCAAGACTCAACCTGCTTAGGTACGGAGTACCTTACTATGCAGTACTCCGTATGGATCATGGAACACTCCGTAGGTACCGCCTACCTTACTCCGTACTTACTTCGAAGCAGAAAGCAGGCGGCCCACGGCTCGTCGAACCCCCATTCCCCTCGTCTTTCCTGCCGTGCCTGCCTCAATTCTGCCAATTTGGTAATCGGAGAGAAACATGACATGGCCCCGTGGTCTATCCGAATGGAGTACCTTGGGAGCAAAGCCCTGCTCATATCCTGGACCTGAACACATTTCCATCTGCATTCGACACTCTACTTCAGGCGTACGAGGAGGGTCAAAAGGAGTTGGGGTTGAGACTCAAGAGTCAGTGACAACTCGGTATGCAGTCATGTTCATGGATTCAAGGAATGCGCGGCAACGCAAGATCCGACGATACACTGGAGACTTGATGCATTCGTCCAACCAGAGTTCGTTCCTATGGCCAAATATATATCGGTCAAAGTTTGCAACGAGTCGATCATTGGATAATCTAATGGCCAAGGAACTGTGTCTATGCATACATGGTCTTACGAACCTCGATTTTCCCTTGGACCTTCCTGAATCATTCAATTCTGTCGTCTACACTAGGTACTATTATATCTTGATACAGGAGTGGAATCCCACAAAATGAGAAGCAAAAATAAAAGAGCGGTGGGTGGCGGAACCCCAGTTAGCACCAAGCAGACTCCAGAGCAAGGTACACTGCCTTACCTCAATAATCAGTGGTCTACCATGTAATAGCCATATTTTCCTATTCCATGATTCCAGTGCCCTAAGTCATGAAGCTGCCAACATATGCCAAAGTCGGCTTCAATATCCGCAAGTCCCTCAGTGAAGAATTCAAAATTACAGCGTCCAACCTTGCACGGTGGCTTCATCTCCGCATTGCACCTGCTTTAGGGGCCGAGCTTGAGCAAGGAAGACCGAGGCTGGACAGGGACCTGCAATGTGTAGCGCGTGCTTTCAAATTCTCAGGTAAGATCCGGATGGTAGGGAAAGTGCCGGCTCTTGATCATTGCGCCTTGCCTCACATCTCACGCTGCACGCTCACACACCACTTCAGTGACTTCACTCACACAGCTCCTCACAGTCTACTTTCTCCAACAACATCCTTTTCTCTCACTTCTCCAACAAGTTGCCTCCTCTTCTTCCCACTGTGCTACGGCATACGGCACAAGCTGACTTAAGGTAGATTGCCATTGCCCATCTTCTCACACACACACACACACACACTCTCTCTCTCTCTCTCTCCCCCTCCTCACGTCACCCCCAGCCAGTCAGATGTCGGTTTGAACTGGGATATGCCTCATTGCGGCGTTACGGTATTGTGAATTTAACGTGCAATGACCCGATCCAATGGTTTTTAGCGGCCCAGACCGATCGAAGGTGCGCTGCAGCATTGTGCACCTGCCGGTCTGTTTTTTTTTCCTGTTTTTTTTTTTTTTTTTTGCCTCCATTACATGTTTTCTTGGAATTTGTACACTTGTCTCTTTTCTTTTTCACGGTCGGAAGGAAACTGCAGCTGCTACTGGCAAAGGCAGTACCTGAGGTTTGGCAGCAGTCGGCTCAGTCGTATATATCTGTACCTGTGAAGCTGGGTTAAGCTGGGTTAAGGTAGTAATACCGATTGAGAAGGTATACGTACCCGTATCTGTACTTACCATCTAAGGTCCTTCCTTCCATTTCCCCGGCCAGTCACTTCCCGCGTCTTTCCGCCCCTAGGAACTGGCCCATGGGCATAGGTACTTGCCTGAGATGCATCTCATGTGGCCACACTTGCCTCATTCGCCCTCTTAGCTTGGGACGGTTGTGGACAACAATATGGAGTGTGCTGTAACTTAGATTCAGCTGCTGCAATGCCATGTCATGTCATGCACTGCGCTGCATCGCACCGCATTGCATCTTCTCTCGCACATTCAAAGCAAAATTCCATCGCGACGCAGCAATTTTTTAAAATAAACCACGGCTCCTGAGCGACAGCGCCAGTGAGCTTGGTCAACGAAAGGCGAATTGCGGCACTTTCCGAGACATCTCAGCTGGACCTGGACCATCTCAGTCATCCACTCCATTCCCATGTTTTGCTGCTTGCAGCTGTCAAGTAATACCTACCGGATAATCAGCCTTATTGCACGCCGCCACAGTTTAAACACACCTCACATCCGCCCTCACAAGTCACATCAAAGAATAAGCGCCCTGTGCGTCCGTCGCCAAAAACGGCATGCTCCAAATGCATCTCTGAGCATCTTGGCTCTACATTGCACCAAAAAGACTAGCTGAGCTGAAGCTTTAGACTTTGCTTCGCCCTACACTCTCCCAGTCGACAGCGCGTTAACAAATCGATCATCCAGATGGACTGCAACGTCTCATCTGCTCCGTGTTTGCCGCACAATGGAACCCAATTCTGTCCCTGTTTCTTGCGTGGTTTGGTTCTGTCACGCCCATCACCGCCGGCCCGGCTTCTAGAACAGAACATACCCCTCAACTTTTTTTTCCAGCATGTCAGCCTGGCCTGGTCGAAAGTTTGCAGCGCTTCTGGGCTTGTTGCGTCTTAATCCAACCGTCCTATCCGCGTCGTACCGCACCGCACCACAGTCTACTATGGCTCGGGAGAACCCGAGTCACGACGCAATCAGCTGCTCGAAGCTGCGACTTCATACCATCCATGCTGTTTGCTTCAATATCAAAAGTAGCACCCTATAGCAGGATCTGGCCCACCGGGACGAGTCTTCAAACCCGTCATATATGACGGAGAAGACGCTTTATCCGGAAAAGATAATGCATGGTCTCATTTGCAGGATTCGCCACAAAACCGCCATCGTCTCGCAATTTTATTTGCAGCGCTCTATGTCCTACTTTGTTCCACCGTCGAGGGTGTTAGTCGTCTGGTATAGTCCCAAGCAACAGACGCACCTCACTTTCTCCCACCGTTCTTGGTGACCCAGGTCATCCGCTGCCGGTGCAGGGTTGCAGATTTCCCGTGGCAAGGCACGCCCCGAGACAAGGGGGCCTACGACAGGCCTGAGCCCTGAAGCCTCTCGCAAGTCTTCCTTCATTGCTTTTTGCAATACCCCACCAAGGAGGCGGTCATAGTTCTGGGTCCTTGTTGGGATCATGGGTTTTGATACGGGTACCGACTGCAGATTTGTTTCTCAATATGTCGGCCGCCTCGGAACCTCGATGCTGACCACCGGGTTCAACGACGGCCAAGAGTTTTTTCCCACTACATACCCCCAGCACAGAGCAGTCAATATTGTCATTGAGAGATGACCAAGAGAAGCGCCGTTCGTATACGGATACTCCAGCAAATCACATGTTAGCCGTCAACTATGTGGCCTTCTCGTCTGTGGATCAACACTCCATAACAGGGACGGGATGCATCTACCCATAGAAAAGGGGAATACGCCCAGATAGGACCCCTCACAGAAGCACAAGCATCATGCTCAATAGTTCCCACAGTCCTGCAGCTACGGCCCCAGGCTCCCTATTCAAATCCTGACAGTGGCCTAATCTAGCGTGGCCTGGTCGATAGAGACTCCTTGCAAAGTTATGACACGGATTTGACAACTAACCCACCCCGAAATGGAGGGACTGCTTGGACAAGCAAACATGGCATACGGTTCTCAATTGGGAACGAAATCGTTGCCGAACGGCACTCGCGAGTTGCAGAAATCGAGGATGAAAATTTTGCAAACGTTACAACAGCCGTTGAACCATCTGTGGCGCGCGGAATCTTGATCGCTGCAGATAGTCAACGGTAACGGTCGTTGGCTTATTTTGCTCAATAGTGTCACCAAAACGTCTTGCCCTTTCGAGGTTGACGCCATCGGATGAACTGCCTGCGAAAGGCTGGTAGTACCAGAAGACAGTCATGTTTGGCAGCGCGACATGGCGGATACGGTTTGCAAATCACAAGTAATAAGATGGCTTGATATAGCCTTTAGCTTTACACGCAGTGATCAAACGAGCACGACGCCGAACGAAAGTGATAATGGCTCCCTTGCTCATATCCTAGCAACCCCCGAAGGCGGGAAGCTGCTCGGTATTACAACAAATCAAGAGAAACCTGACTTCGACTCCCGCGGACCCGGAGAAGAATCCCAAATGTTAGGTATGACCTTTGCGTTAAGGGCGAGAAGCGGTAGAAAATGCTCAATTGCTGCCAGCCTCGAAGCACGCTATAGCTCTTCCGGTATTCTGCCAAATCTGGGCACAACCATCCATAGACTGGCAGAGTCAATCAGTCTTCACAAAAGAACGCAACATGATTGTACCTCTCTCTCGAGAGAGAGGTACATGCCTGAACAAAGAACGCGAACCCGCATTTGGTTAACATATATGCAGCCACTCGCCATACCACGAACGTCTTTCGTCCAAAAGTCTAGCGCGAAAACAAAAAGGCCAACGATGCTTGGCGTCTTACCAAAATTTGCCTAGCCAGGGCCTAGAAGGATCGCAAAGACGGGGGGCATGGGGGCCTCGTCCTCAGATGAACCCAAGGCTTCACATCGTTCTGTACTTCGTCCGCTTTCCCATCCTTTCACAGTGGGGCAGAAGCGGCCAGCATTGGCTTTGAAGCAATCGCAAGTGCCGTCAAGTGAGATCAGCAAAGAGGCCCTGCCGTTGTGGCTGGTCAAATCGACTGTAGGTATGTTCACCAAACCCATGTTGGCATATGCTCCGATAGCTAACTTATCTAAAAGATCAAGCGGATGGCTGACACAATGAGGAAGGCGTTTTCAGGTTGAATCAACCGGACTAGCCAACAACATGGCTCTACTACAGCCCCATGTTGACATCAACATACACGACTACCTATGAACAGGGAACAAAAGTCATCAAAGACATCAAGGACGGCATATCAACAGAGGACCATCACTGCGTAATTACCCGGGAGATGGGAAAAGGGAGGGGGAAAACCGCATCTTAAGAGAGGCATCAAAACACAGGGGCCAGGCATACGCCAGTCTTGGAGAGAAGGTCCTGGCCTCGACTCCCTAGGAGCCACAGCCAACCCACTGTGATGACCATCGCCGTCATTCCTCGCCTTTTGCAATCACGGTTCATTGGTCATCATCATACCCAGTTGCTATGGGGTCAGCCATGTCTTACTACGGGCGCAAAGGCCTCTAGTAATTTCTAATTCTTGTTCCATATTCAGGAGACTTTGGTGATGGTCTCTTTAAGATGCTCCGTATCTACTCCTACTCAACCAGCTGTGTACCTTTCTACAAGATGGAGATGCTGACCTGAAGGAATATACGGTCTGTAGCTTGTACACCCCAGCTCGTGCTGCTTGGTGAAAACCTGGTGAGGTTGTCCATCATCTGCGACCATACTCATCGTGCGCTTTGATATCAAGTTCTTACCCCGGATGGCGCTGAGTGGACCGACCGCTCCGGGATGTCGTCTTTGCTCAGCCATGCGATCTAAGCCGGGTTGTGGGATGCCTTCTCTTTCCCATCCCCAGTCAGGGTCTATGTGTTCAGACCTCAAAGCCACAGTCACAGTATCAGAGTAGCATCCTGATCTTCTCTTCGAAATCCGCGGCAAAGTACCATCCGGTGTAGGGTATATCGATACATGCGCCTTTCTTTGTCAATCTCCGACGCGATTGACGAATTACTTTCGGCATTGAGCATCGCAATGGCCTCTTCCATACGGTACCTCACACTTTAGACGGACGTGCGGCTCTTCTTCGTCCGGGCCGAATTCCTCAAAGGCTACTACCTACCTATAACGCGCGTCCCAGACGGGTCAGAGGCGCAGGAACGATGCAAATGATCTGCCGATATCTCAAAGCTTCCCTGGTCGCATAGTATCGGTGCAACCATTACCATTCTTCCTATTGGAAAGGCATTCGTGATCGATCTATTACACAGCCATACACATGGTGACATTGGCTTCGTCTTGTTACTCCTCCGCCACTGGTACTGGAGCTTAACATGGCGAGTAACAGTAGGACTTCCAGAGTTTTTTCAAGTGATAGTTCACATGTACTCGCATTTATCACAGCAGACCTGCGCGCATCTACCAGTCGGCAGATTGAAGAGCTGGACCAGCAGTGATCAGACCATACCAGACCGTATTTGTAGATCCCATGGAACTGGATCCATGCAGCCTCAAAGTTCTTTCGCGCAGTCTCAGGGACAGCCCGCCTTCGAATTTTCCGATCCGACGAGGGGATACTACTCTGGATTTGAACATCCAATCGCAATGGGCATCAACGACATCACCTTACCTTCCTCTCCTGTTGCAATGCTACCAGTTTGGGATTTCCTCTCGGGGATTATGCAGGAGACGCCCAATGGATGCTACGCCAGGAACGGACTATGTTCGCCAGCCCATTGTGACATTGCGATCAGACCGAGTGGCATTCACTCACACTCAACAACAGCCCAACCTCATCTGTTGCCATCAGATTACAACGGGCGCAAAGCCACTCGCGGTCGGAGGCGTTCTTCCTTGGTGATATACGAACTTAGCGTTACAGTCACTCCTGCTACGTCGGTAACACGACGACCGAGTTAGAAGCGGCGGCTAAAGCTGTCGGTACCTTGCGAATGCTATGATGCTCAGAGGTTGTCGGAAGAACCTCGTCGGGTCCTTAACAATTCGCCCTGAAGGAAGGGACGGGGTTTACACCTCCAGATCGACTTGTTGAGGTACACAGGTAATGGTTCTTCTAGACCTGGAGGCTGGCGGACGATCTCATGCGCCCTTCCCCGTTCGACATCAAATCCCAATGCTGAAGCGTCCGGGAGTCATGAAATTAATTCGTCGCACAAGACAGAAGCCAACTGAAGGAAAATAAAAATTCAAAAGGCGCCGAGACTAATTGCCGCTAGAGATGTGTCACAGCACCTCTAAAGTTATTACGCATACGGACGTAAGAATCGACAAGGAGGCGTGGGAGGGTGATGGGGATGTTGGCGTCATCCATCTGCTGTGGCTGATAGGGGTGTAGGGGTCGCCAGTACGTGGCATCTGCAGTCCCCCGTGCTGATGGCATCATCCCGCTTTTCGCAACGAAGATCGCAACAATTCCCCTGCTTTTGTTTCGAATTGACGATTATACGTCTCGAGGTGGCCGTGGGTGCTCCTAGGGAGCTACATACAGACACCAGTGACGGAACTGCAGATACCGTTGCCCACCGCCTATACGTGCGGCGGTTCTGAAATCAGGCGCGGGGGACTCGGGACCGAGTTTCCTTGGACCAAGTTTCGTTTCAAGCACAGACCAGCTTCCCTTGGGGGAGGGTTGAGTGACTAAGCAGGGGAAACTGTCTCTTGGAAGAAGCTGGTCACTTGATTCTGCACGTGAGGCCAGCATCAAGCACGCGCCCGGGCCGTAGGGGTCTTGGACCCTGCCAAAAGGGATGAATGGAAGGTTTCAGCCGCGCTGTCAATAGGAAGCGTGATTCTAAAAGGGTGAGATGATGTGAAGCTCATATCGTACCATGAACTGGAAGCCCTCGATTACATCGTCGACGAAATAAAACACTACGTGTGTGAAATTGGTGGTGGAGCTTCCAACCACACGTCCGATTCTCATCACAACCCACCCGTATCCGTCTTACAAGCAAGGGAGTGAGTGAGTGAGTGATCGCAGGGAGAACCAGATACTGTTGTACACAGAGAGCACACAACAAACAAAACATTGAGAATACAAGCAACAACAGGATCAACGGCAATAACAGAGGGAGAGAAAGAAGCATAATCATAATGGACCCAAATATCTCGGCATCCGCTCTGGGTGAGCCACACCACCTGGGCATCGGCTTCTACCTCCTCCCCTTCGCCACGTTCCTCTGCTTCCTCGTCCCGGTCCTCTACATCTTCCCCCCCATCCCGGCCACGACCAGCGACGCCCTACGCTCAACCCACACCAAGATTGGCGTCTCGCCGCCAAAGAGCAACCTCCGGGACCAGTACTCCGTCAAGGCCGACGCCGGCAGCACTTCCAATGCCGGCACCGGCACCGGCGCCGGGCCCGTCGCCCGGGTCAAGGCGCTCTGCGTCTACCCCATCAAATCATGCCGCGGAATTGAAGTGACCCGGAGCAAGCTCCTCCCGACGGGCCTGGAATTCGACAGGCTGTACACTTTCGCGCAGCTCAAGTCCCGCTTCCCGGCCGCCGTGGACGACTCGGCCGAGGCGAAAGACGAACATACCTGGGAATTCGTCACGCAGCGCCAGTTCCCGCTCCTCGCGACCATCAAGGTAGACGTCTACGTGCCCGACGCGACCAAGTCCACAGTCTTCATGGAAAAGTCCTCCGACGCGTGGATCGTGATGCGGTTCCCCTGGCGGGAACCGGGGTTCCGGGGCACCATGTCGTGGGTGGCGTCCAAGATCCGGGACGGGTGGAGGGGCCAGCCGGAGATGGAGGTGTTGTTGCCGGTCGAGTTCCCGACGGACGCGGAGATTGCGGAGCGCGGTTACACGCGCGAGGACGTCAAGGTGTGGAAGGAGGTCGTGCCGGCTCTGAATATGGAGAAGGAGTTGCCGGGGGAGCTGTGTCGGTATTTGGGGGTGAGCAACAAGTTGGCGCTGTTCCGGGTTGATCCGGGGCAGTTGAGGGAGGTGTATCGGTGTGCGCCGAGGAAGGAGGAGGCTGGGTATCAACCTATTGTTGGATTCCAGGATGCTGTGAGTTTTTGTTCCTCCTTTGGCTCTCGGTTTTGCGTCCCCTTACCCCTTTTTCGGGTTTCTCTTCGTTGAGAGGGATAAGAAATGGATGTGTGGGAAGTGAGAGAAGGAGACTTGAAGCTAACGAATCATTGGAAAAAAGTATCCCCTGCATATCATGAACATCAGCAGTCTCCAGGACTTTGACGCCAAGGTGCCCAAGGACGACGAACTCAAGCATCTCGATGTCAGGAGGTTCCGGTCCAACATCATTGGTAAGTTCGATTTAATATAGCATGAGATGATCTCCTTCCCTCGAGACTCTCTAGAGGCTCGATAGCGGGCAAACTTTTAAGGCTCAAGTGCTTTACTGACGAAATCCTGTGACAACATAGTCTCTGATGCGCCAGCCTACGATGAGGAATCATGGAAATGGGTCAACTTCACCCAGGGCACCTCAAAGGTCACTGTCCCGGCCAAATTCCAAGTCTCGTGCCGTACCGTCCGGTAAGCTCCCTTCCTCCTTTCCTCACTCACTCACTCACTCACTCACTCACTCACTCACTCACTCACTCACTCACTCACTCACTCACTCACTCACTCAAAAAAACACCTTGACTAACACCCCCTGAAAGCTGCAAAATGCCAAACGTCGACCCAGTAACCGGCGCCCGCCACGGCGCCGAACCGGACCGATCCCTCCGCAAGCTCCGCGATGTCGACGAGGGCGCCCCGCGCATGGGGTGCCTCGGCATGCAAATGTGCCCGCTCTTCGAGGGCACCGACCGCGTCGAGTACATGCAGGCCTGGCTCGAGGTCGGCATGGACGTCTCCGTGCTGGAGCGCGGCGACCATGTGTACATCAAGCAGTGAAAATCCAGGCCATTTATCTTGATCTGGATCCTGAAGGAGAAGAAAGATTATCTGGGCAGCGGCTGATGAGGCGATTTGGTGCTGCTGAGGAGAGAAGAGTGGTTGGATTTTCGTCTTGCTTGATTACGGTGTGTGAAATGGCATAATAGACATAGACTTCAATCACACGCAGGAGAGAACGTTGTAGGTTAAGAACAGGAAAAAACAAATTTGATTTCCTTATACTCGCACTCGCAACCTCCATTAGATATCATGCCAATTACTCCCATATTTCCGGCTTGTTTTGCGCGAGAGAGACAAGCCCGTCCGAACCCAGTGCAGAAAAACGACAGAAAGCGTGCTCCGCTGTGGTATCCAACGAAAAGAAATTTCAGCCCGACCCAGAAACCCCGTCGAGTACTCTTGCGCCTCTACTTCAGACCGGGAGAGAAGCCCTAATGGCAAACGGAAAAGAGGAAGAAAATCCCATCATCGTCATCATCATCATGTCGCGATCCGAAAACCATTTTAGAAACATTCACGAGCAAACGCGAACAAACACTTTTACTTCATGTCAGCAGGCGTCAATGCTTGAACCATACTGGTTCCTTCGCTGAAGCGAGTTCGGAAGATGCGGTTCGCGTTCTGGAACATGCCGTCCTTGAGAGAGACGACGATGAACTGCGAGCCCTTGAAACGCGTCTTGATCAGACGACCAATATTTTGCGTGTGGGACAGATCCAGCGCGGCGTCAACCTCGTCAAGAATGTACATGGGCGCAGGCTTGAACTGCAGCAGGGCCATGATGAGTGAAAGAGCGATGAGAGATCTAAATTGAAAGCGTTAGTTTGAATTCATTGAAACTTGGTGGAAAAGATTGAGTGTATGCTTACCTCTGACCACCAGACAGCTCAGTCAAGCTCTGCTTCCACACCTTGCCAAGGGATACCTTGACTTCGAGACCATCGCTGATGGTCTTGCCTTCAGGAGGGTCCAACTTGGCGAAACTGCCGGGCAAGAGCTCGTTGAAAATCTGACCAAAGTCGCCGTTGACCTTCTCCCATGTCTCTTGCAGGGCCTTCTTTTTGTAGTCGTCCAGGCTGATGATGGTCTCCTCAATCTTGCGCTTGTCGCGGATGACAGTCTTCATCATGTGCTTGAGTGACACCTCCTTCTTCTCGACACTCTCAATCATGTTCATGACCTTGGGGTTGATCTTCTTCTTCATTCCCTGGAAGCGGTCCGTGAGGTTACGGAGCGTCGACTTGCACTCGCCAATGTTCTGACCCTTGAAGTCATACGGCGTTCCTGAACGGCCAAAATTCTCCTTCTCGTCGGCAATCCAGTCGTGCTCCTTCTCCATGTGCGCAACAGTTTGCACGGCCGATTGCTGCTCCTTGTGGAACCTTTCGACCTGATGGCCAAGCTTCTGCATCTCGAGACTCTCCTCGGCAATGCGGGCGTTCTTGGATCGGGTGGCATCTTCAAGGGCGTGGAGTTCGTCATCGAATCCATGGAGCTTGGCCCGCTCATCGTCAAGCTCGGCCTGGACACCGTCAAGAGTCTCTTGCAGGGTGCCTTGCTGCTTGACAAGATCCTCGACGTCCTGCTGCTGGGCCTTGATGGCTACTTCAACCTCTTGCTGCTGTTCGCGGGCCGCGGACAAATCGCCAGAGACCTGTTCTGAGTCGAGCTGAGCGCCCTGTACTTCCTTCTGTAGAACCTTGACGGAAGCAGTGTTCTTGGTTAGGTCGGCCCTCAGCTTGTCCAATGACTTCTGGAGCTCAACAAGCTTAGCATCCTTGTTGTTGTCGAAGTCCTTCATGTCCTTCTCAATCCGCTTGACGTCAGCAGTGGCTTCGAAATGCCTCTTTTTGGCCTCCGCAGTGTCGCTCTTGAGCTGGGCAATGGTTTCCTTCATGTTCTGCACCTCTTGGATGATTGAAGAAGAAGAGTTGCTGCTAATCTGCTCTTCACCAAGCTTGATCTCGTGGCTCTTCAGGTCAAGTTCCTGCTTGATCTTGCGAGCGTGGTCAAGTTTTGACTTCTCACTCGCAATAGTGAGCTGAAGCTGGTGCAACGAAGACTCGGTCTCCTTGAGTTGGCGTGTGATCTCGTTAAGCTTTTGCAGCGTGACGAGCACACCACTGGAGTTGGGGGAGCTACCACCCGAGAGTGTGCCTGAAGGGTCATAAGAATCACCCTCAAGGGTGATGGACCTCATTCTAACGTTAGGGTCGAAGGTGACCCTCTTGGCCGTCTCTGCATCTGCGCAGATGAGAGTGTTGCCGAATACATACTCCATAGCGGCGGAGACCTCATTGTCGTAGCCGACGAGTGACAGGGCTAGGTCAACCTTGCCTGGTGCAATTCTTTGGGCAGCCCCGATGGCCTGAGCCGAGGCTTTGAAGGCCGCAATCTTGTTCAAAGGAATGATGGTGACACGCTTGCGAAGCTTTCCTCCTTGAAGCAGTTGAGTGCCAGTGACTTCGGAGTCAACCACGACGTTGTAAAGGCGACCACCAGCGCAAATCTCGAGCGCAGTACCGGCTTGCGTGTTTTGCTTGTCGAGTGTAAACAGCTGGGCAACCAAGCCCTTGACCTTTGATCTATCGAAGTTGGGTGTCGGGTCGGCATAGTTGAAGTCAATGTTGGCGACCTTGCGCTTCAGGCCGTCGGCCTCCTGTCGAAGACCTCGGATCTGCTGCTGCAGGGACGACTGCTTCTGGTACAATTGCTCTTCCTGGCCGGGCTCAAAGCCTAGTCGTCCGAGCTCTTTCTCGAGCTTCTGCGCCTGTGACCTTAGGCCTTCGAGATCCCTGAGAAGGTCGGCATTCTGCTCTTTCGCCTTCTTGGCTCGCGGCTCCTCCTCCTTGATACGCTTTTCGAGATGAGCAATCTTCATCTTTGCTTGCTCCTGTTCGGTAACCGATGCTGTCGCGCGGTTCCTTGCGTCTTGCAGCTGGCCTTGGTAACCGCTTTCTTGACCATCCTTGGATGCAACACCAGTCTGCAAGGTTTGCAAAAGTTCCTCCTTGGATTCGGCTTCTTGGCTTTGCTTCTCCAGGTCGTCCTTGGCTGCGTCGAATCGGGCTTTGATCTCCTCAAAGGCCTGAGTCTTTTCTTGCAGTGTCGCCTCCAGCTCCGCGACGTTCTTCTCGACAGCCGTCTTCTTCTCTTTCTCTTCCGCCATGCTGGACTTCTTCAAGTCCATGACCGTGGCAAGTCTGACCAGCTCGTTTGAGTGCTTCTTGACGGCATCCTCCAAGGCTTGCGCCTTTCCTCCTTTCTTCAACTCCTTGTCGCGCTGAGCTCGGACTCGTTTGACATCCTCTTCAAGGTGGGAGATTTCGCTCTTCAGTCGTGCCGCAGACTCCTCGAGGTCTTTTTGTCTTTGTTTCTTGCCCTCCAGGTCTGCTGCGGATTGCTCAAGCTTTTCTTGGCACCTTACGTAGTCGTGCGCCACGACCACCCGTGTAAGACGCTCGAGATCGTTCTGGGTTTGTTGGAAGTCCAGGAAGGCTCGCTTCTCCGTCCTGAGCTTCTCGAGCTTCGGCTCGATCTCGTCTCGTAGCAGCTCGGTGATTTCTTGCAGTTTCATCTCTTTCTTTGCCATGGTCTTAAGCGCCTTGTCCCTCCTGTCCTCAAACATTCTGGTTCCCGCAGCTTCTTCAATCATGGCCAGAATTTCGACCGGCTTCATGTTGAGAACCTTTGTGATTCGGCCCTGCATAATGAGGAAATTTGGGTTGTTAATGTTTAGCTGGACAGACTGGAAAAGGTTTTGTACAGTCTGTTGTTGGGCTCGGTGTCCATTGATGAGGTATTTGGATGTGCCACCAAGGACGATTTGTCGAGTTACACTGATGGTTGAGTACTCCTCGAAGCCGATCGGCGACTTCTTCTTGTCTCTATTGTCGAAAACAATCGTAACACTCGCTTTCGTCACACCGGCTTGACCGCGCTTGTAGATAAGATCCTGTTGCGAATAGCATCAGCTTCACCTGCCACCAGCAGAATGCACCGCAATGGATGGCTACGCACCTGGAGATTTTGCGCTCGGACTGTTGTCATGTTGGTAATTCCCAAAACGAAGCAGATGGCGTCCAAGATGTTGGACTTTCCGGAACCGTTGAGACCAGTGATCGAGTTGAAACTTTCGTCCCTGTATTGTGTGAGCTTTCGTCCCCTCACAGCCAAGGCAAGGGGTTTGTTTACCATCCCGAAATCACCGTTCGCACGGCATACGACTTGAAGCCCTGAATACTGTTAGCATCGAAAAGATAAAAGACGGAATGTGATCGCATACGTCTATAATGACCTCTATGACCCTCATGCTGCCGTAGTTAGTGGTTGACGATGGTGTTGCTGAGGAGTGTTGTCAGAGTCAAGGTCTTATTGTTTACTTTCGATCGGTCGCGTTTCCACTTCACCCCCCCTTCCCATGGATGGAAGGTTTGGACCCTCCCGCACTCCCGCCCGATAAGGCCCTTATCGGGGACAGCACACATATGGGGCGGGCAGTCACACAGGGCACCGCGAGTCTCCCGCAAGCCGCAAGCGCGACTGTCAATCTGTGATTGCCCCGGCTCAGGCAGCCCCACGAGCTTCAGCTGCGCTAAGCCGAATTCGGACTCGACCAAAACATTCGGTTCGCAATGCAATTCAAATCCAGGTCCATCAACACCACCACACATCCATACAGCTTTTGTGTGCTTTCCACTTTTTGCTTTCCTCTCCCCCTTCTTTTCCAGCAACTACCTTACTACACCTAGCTACCACATTCCGAACTCGATGACCAGCTAGCATTTCTCTTCTCTTTCACAGCGACACTCTTGCGCGTCGCGATCTACCCCTCACAATGGCGACGATGCGAGGAACGCGTGTGCCTATTGGCTCCGCGTCATGGATTAACGAAGAACGAACTACAGCCCTTAGCATCGTTCAGGCTGAGGCCGAGGAGTTCTCCTTTGCCGCGAGAAACGAGTTTGACTGGCTTAATGAGCATATGGCTGGGGTCTTCAACGAGAACGAGATGTATGGTGACCCCTAGCTAGTTGCTCTGTAACGATTGCTAACTACCTTGACAGCAATGTCGCCGAGATCTTCAAGACACCTGGAAAGCTTCGAAGCAAAACGCCCCGCACGGCGCGTAAGGTCGACAATGGCGAACCTCGTATCGTGAGTTTACTGCTCTCACGCGCGCAAATATCAACGTCCGCTAACAAGGTGCAGCCACTATCAGATGTGTTCTCTTCCACTCCCAACGGCGCCCCAAACACTTTCACACAACATCTTACTCGCGCTACTCCCACTGCCCACCCTGCGCCATCAACATCATCACCTTTGATCAACAGGAATATTTCGCCCCTCAAGGCTGCCCCCTCCCCTAGGCCGGTTTCGAAACAGCCCGTTGCACTAGCCGATTCCGGATACTATGGCAGCCAGGATGTCGACAACATGGACAACGAAGAGGAAGACGACGACGACATGGATGTCGACCTGATTGAAGAGGAGACACAGATTGGCGAGCCACGATCGAGCCCCCCAAAGACTGCTGGACGAACCGGCCATGTCGCCTTCGAGGCCATCGAGCAGAACGCGCCTCGAAGCCCTACCGAAACACGCACTATGCGCTCTCCTGAAGTTACTTTTCAAACGGCCAAGGAGGAACAGACAACGCGGGTTATACGCGATCTCATCGAGGAAGCTCCATCCCCAGCATCGTCCAAGACCTCAGCTGCCCCAAGCCCGGCCAAGGAAGCCAGAACGCCCTCGCCTCCTATCGTATCACCCAAGCCTCGCTCCGCAAAAAAAAGCGTGTCGCCTATCAAGGCCTCACCACAGAAGCGCTCCCCAGCGAAGCAGTCTTCACCGCCATCCTCACCTGTGCTTGGAGCTGCACCATCTCCCATGCCCGAGCCTTCGCCTGCTGCTGAATCACAGGACGATGTGGACGTCCACATGGACGATGATACACGATCACCGTCCGATGACGAGTCGAGCCCGATCCGCCCAGTCAGAAAGAGCAGCCTCAACTTTGCTTCACTTCCTGCTAGAGAGCCTCTTAAGAATAAGAGTATCGGGGCTCGCGTCTCTAGGACCAGCCACTTGGATATGAACCGTCAGAGTTACTACGGTCGGCAAACGGGAGGAAAGAGTTTGGGAAACAACATGGAACTACTTGGGGAATCAGATGACGAGGAAGGCAATGACGACGGAATGAGCATCGATGGCTCAGCCGAAGACACAAAGGAGGTCGACAACTACGCCTCCAACCACAACAAGACATACACTCAACGACTACAAGACCAAATCAACTTGCTCGGTAAATCTCAACCGAACGCAAGCCGACCTTCAAAGTCGATCCCGAGCTCAGCGGTTGCGCAACAGCTTGCACAAACGACTGCGACACAATCAGTTGCAGATGCCAAGGCAGCAACACCCGCGAAGAGATCTGCTGCACCACCGACTCCTGGGGCGTTCCCGGAGGACGATGATGAAGAAGACGAAGTGGAAGCGGGTGAAGAGGATGATTGGATTGCACCTCCTGTGCCTGCGAAAGATACGCCCCTGGCCAGTCCACGACCGCATTTGCCTAAGAGCCACACTGCGGACGTCATGGAAGGCATCGACAGGGCAGACACCGTCAGTGGCCCTGAATTTGCTTTGCCTAAGCAGCGGCAATCTCCTGGTCGCTCAGGCTCCCCCAAGCGGGCACCTGTCATCCCTGAGCGTACTACCAGTGTGTTTGGACATGGCAAATCTGCTTCTGTTTCTGTCTTGCCTGATCTTTCCAAGGACAAGATGGTTGAAGACCTGTCTCCAGCCAAGAAGCATGTTTCAGTGTCCAACCCTCTGTCAGCCGTGCCGGAGGATGGACGCCCCGAGACTCCTCAATCGCCTACACGAAGCTTCCGGGACAGTCCATTGAAACAGGTCAAGAACAAGCTGTCTTCCATTCTGAAGAGTTCCAAAGGTCTTCTTGCGAGCAGTGCGGCCATCAGCGCTGAAGGCAAATCTTCGCTAATGTCACCTTCCACCGCTCGCTTTGGCATCAACCCCGGTCCCTCTACAGACTCAATTGTACCCCAATCAATCGCCGCAGAGCCATTATATCCTGACCTTTCCAAGCGAATTGCAGCCGATGCTCAGACACTTTCCAGTATAGGGAGCCCTGAGAAGCCCGTTGCGCGCAGAACGCGGGCTTCCGTTGAGAAGGAGAAGGAAGATAAGCGTAAAGAGAAAGAGGCCAAGCTGATGGCTGATCAGATGAGCAAGCTGGACAAGGCTCGTGCAGATGAGCGGGAAAAGGCCCGGACTTTCAGCAAAGAGCAAGAAAAGATTGCCGCAATGGAGAAGAAGATTGCTGCTCAAAAGGAGAAGGAACCTGAACAAGAGCAAGTCAGGGAGGTTGAACGACCTGCTCGAACGCCGGCGCCTAAGGATGCACCCAAGCCCACAAGAACTAGCCCCCGCAAGGCCAAGGCTCAGGCTGAGGCCGAGGCTGCTGCCCAGGCCTCACAATCAGAAAAGCCCGACGTCGAAATGGCTGAAGCGCCAACCCCCAGGCCCCCGCCATCCGCTCCTCGCTCTGTTGGCCCTAGCCAGACGGCCAGGCAGCGGGAACTCAGACGTCCAATGAAGCCAACCAAGGAAGCACCCAGCAAGATCAAGCAAGCGCCTACCGTCATTCGCGTTAACACCGGCTCGCAACACTCGCAGTTCCACCCCTCCAACAGCACACTATCATCGGGTCTGCAAGAGACACTGGGCTCGTCGGTCAAGTCCAAATCAAGCCAGCCAGGCTCACATAGCAAGCAATCTCTGGCGAGCATGAAGAGCTCTGTCTCGTCCAATGGCCGACCGAAAGCACTCGAGCTTGCCGCCAAGCGAAAGGAACAGGAAGAGCGGGAGGCTCAAAGGAAGAGAGATGCGAAGCTCGAACTCGAACGGAAACGCGCTGCGATCCAAGAGGAAGAGCGCAAGCAGGAACTGCAAAGGCGACAAGAGGCGGAGAGACAGAGGGAGAGGGAGAGGGAGCAAGCCGAGGCGAAGAAGAGTGCACAGAGACAGGCAGCAATTGAGCGTGCCAAGCAGACGCGAGCACCACCACCTGCTGTGCGCTCTCAGCCCAATGGCCCTCCCGACTACACTGCCAGTCAACGCTCCGATGGCCAACCTCCCCGGCCTCCGTCCCGAATGAACTCCATGGCCCATCGGTCTCAAGAGGATCGACCAGTCAATGCTGTTCTTTCTAACGCTTCGAAGCCAGGCTCAAAGCGCCCCCTGCCGCAAGACAGCAGAGAGGACAATGGCTCTCGCAACCCTCCCGCACGTAACGGGCAGTCTTACAAGACCCAGGAAGCCAAGCGTCGTCGCACTAGTGATGACTTTGCCGATGAGCTTGACATGGACATTCAACCACCCAACATCAAGGGCCCCCCTGTTCGCCCTCCGTCAGTGGGTTTCAAGAAGGTTAGTAACTCATTACTCAGTGCGCACGACGGGAGCTTTGCTGACGTGGATCATCAGGACATGCCCACGAAGTCGACGTACGGCTACACCAACGCACCGCCGAGTGCCTCCAGAGATTTGTTCAAGTCTACCGTCACCGCCCAGCACCACAGCACAATTAAGTCCACAAAACAAGTGGATATGAATCAGTTTGCTCAGGGACACATTCCATTCGCGCCTAATCCAAACCCTGCCGGCCCGGCTCACAAGACACCGGCGCGACCTATGGGTGCTGCAAGCACAAAGTCTACCGCCAAGGCTACGAGATCGTCTCCTCGATTCCAAGACGGCGAAAAGATTGAGTTGCCTGAAATCGATACAGATGAGGACGAGGATGATGACGACTCCCACTTTGGGGTTGCCCCTTGGGCTGATTCGCCTGATTTGAGACGCGCCCTCATGAAACAGGAAACCATGAATCCTGAGGGTATCTTTGGGCCTCCCCGCGCCCTCAACATGGAGGAAGTGTTTAACAACAAGGAGAGATGGCACAAGTTCCGCGCGCGCACATCAAGCGCCAACTGGAGTGGATCGGATCGCTTGACAGAAGACGAGATTAGGAAGGATCTTGCAGCTCGCGACAAGCTTCGCAGAGAGGGTGGTTGGTCCTACGAGATGAGCAAGGACTTGATGTGAGAGTCGCCGCAGACTTGGCGTTGGTTTTGGTGGTTGGGTGACAGCTGTGTGGTTTACACATGCGAACGAACTCACGATGGGACATATGCAAGCAGATCATACGGCTGCTCAGATGGCTGAGTAAAGCCTGGCGTATTCTTTTATTCTTGCAAGGAAGCAAGAAAACTTTTATTGCGGGCGTTGAGCAGCATAAGGCATGCAATTATGACCGTGTTAATATCGAGTAAAATGGCAATTCCGCGTTACCTTTGAAGCTATGATGAGCCTCGTGGTATGTTAGCTACGAGTCGGACATGCACCTGAGGGCTGGCTGTCACGGTCTCCAGCTTTCATTCGATCGCATGGATGGGAGAGGTAAGGCTCCGAGTCCTGAGCTAGGGTTGTGTCATTCTCGTTGACAGGGCAACCGTCCCGGACGCTATGACCGTACCTGCCAGGATCCGACGCGGTTGTGCACCCAGGTACCTAGATAGTTAACGCGCTGGACCCTTGTTAGTCTCCAAATTTCCTGGTGGTATCCGTAACCTCCAACAGTTTCCAGGAGCTGTCAATTCATCCACCAATTTCTTGACTCGGATTCGCGAAACGACCCTTTCTTTTGTGCTGATTCGGGTTGCGTGATCTCCTGTATCCGTGATAATCCTGGAGAATGGGTGCTAACGACAGCACGGAGAGCCGCAAGCGCAGTCGTGCCACACCAGCGAAACCAGACCACAGTATCCCATCGAGCTTCAAGAAACGGAAGCTAGACGCCAACGGCAACCCGATTGTCGCTTCTTCTCCGACGACACCCAAAAGTACTCTCGGGGCCAATTCATCCGCTCTGAAGAAGTCCGCTCGCAGTAAAATCACATCCTCGCCCGTCTCGGCATATGACGTGCCAGACTCCCCCGAGGACAACCCGCCACGTCGAATCCGCAATGTAAGAAGCGTTGACCGACCGACTGCCAAGGTTCCGATCCCGCCTCGCCGCAATGTCGACGTTGATATTTACGATATTCCCTGCTCCGACGATGAGCTGCATTCGAGCCCGAAGGAGGTGAACTCGCAGAAAGCGAGCCCTACGAAGAGAAAGAGCAACGCCGCGGCCGGCCACGATGTAAATGAGGTCAATGGAGGGGAGACCATCGAGCAGCCACAGCCTCAAAAGGGCAAGAGCAATAAGGTGCTGGGAAAGGACGAGAAGGTTGCTTCGACGGAGGAGTCTTCCTCGCAGATACGATCAAGCGGACGCCGGAGAACTCTGACAGCGAAAGCCCTCGAGCATGTGGAAAAGGTTGCGAGTCGCTCTGCGACTCCGACTTCTCACGCGAGATCTTCTGCCACTGCGAATGAAGTACCGGAGTCCAAAAAGGCTACAGGGAAGGCGAACCGCAACATATCTATGCCTCTGAAAGGTATCTTGACACCGTCCAAGCGGGACGGTACGCCGAGAAGGAGTAAGAGCGTAGCGTTCGATTCTGCTAGTGCTTTGGCTCAAGAGGAGGTGTTTTTCGAGGATCTTCCGACAAAATCTGGGAGAAGCCGAAAACCATCACAAAAGGTGGTTGAAGCAAAAGTAGTAGTGGCGAAGACCGCGAAGTCACGAAAGGCGCCGCCCAAGGTGATTGACGAGGAGTCACAGGAGGAAGAAGATGTGGAGTCAGAGGTCGAAGAACAGCAAGATGAAGAACCGGTAGCAGAAGCGTCAAAGCAGGAGGAAGAGGAAGACGAGGACGTTTGTTCGATATGCACGAAGCCCGATTCCAAGCCTGGGAACAGAATTTTGTTCTGTGATGGCTGCGATAAGGCGTTCCATCAAAAATGCTACAACGTGCCCAAGGTTCCCCGGGGAGACTGGTTCTGCAACGATTGCGTTGGGCAGAAGCAGTCGCGAGCAGTGGCAGCAGACGAGGCGGTGAAGACTCCCAATTTCGCAAAACACCTGAGCAATCTGCAAAGGGTGCTACTAGACCGGTGTACGGGTCGCCGACGAATCAAGCTGATTGACCAGGATGACGCCTACGAAAAGGCGCATCGGCTGGTAGAGCAGACGGTACTGGCTGGGGAGGGCAACTCCATGCTCGTAATAGGGGCAAGGGGTTGCGGCAAGACCACGGTAAGTCAACACTTATGCACACTGCATCGGTGCTATTCTAATATCAAACAGCTCCTCGAGAGCATAGTCGACGACCTGTCTTTGCAGCACAAGAAGGAATTCCATGTTGTAAGACTAAACGGTTTCATTCACACCGACGACAAGCTGGCCCTGAAGGAGATTTGGCGGCAGTTAGGCAAAGAGATGGAGGCGGAGGACGAGGCCAATGCTCGGGTTTGCAGTCCCAATACCTCAAGAGATAAAAGCCAAAGAAACTGACGAATCGTGTAGTCAAATTACGCCGACACAATGGCCTCGCTGCTTGCACTGCTATCTCACCCATCGGAAATGGCACAGGCGGAAGAGGGTGTGACGTCGCAAGCGGTCGTCTTCATCATTGACGAGTTTGACATGTTTGCAGCGCATCCCCGGCAAACGCTGCTCTACAACCTATTTGATATTGCACAGGCGCGTAAAGCCCCTATCGCGGTGCTGGGCTGTACGACACGCATGGACGTAGTAGAATCTCTGGAAAAGCGCGTGAAGAGTCGTTTCAGCCACCGTTATGTCTACCTGTCCCTCCCAAAAAGCTTGCCGGCATACTGGAAAGTATGCAAGCAGGGCCTTTGCGTCGATGACGAGGACATGGACGTCGAGGGCATCGATGTCAGTGTTGATGGACACGAAGCTTTCCACGCAAATTGGAAGGCTATGGTTGAGGTATGTTTCCAGGCCAGATTGGAGGAGGGCTGAAAATTGACTCACCTTTCCACAGGTTCTATACAAAGAAAAGGCATTCCAAAGTCTATTGCAATACCACTACGCAACGACAAAATCCGTCTCGGCATTCCTGTCAGCGTGCATCCTTCCCCTCTCCGCGCTCTCGTCTACATCTCTAGACCTCGTCATTCCGCCAACGCCCAGCGGCGCGGTCGTCTCTCTCACGCCACCGAACTCCAAGCTTCACCTTTTGTCGTCGCTCTCAGAGCTGGACCTGGGCCTCCTCATCGCAGCAGCGCGACTGGACATTGTGGCACACACAGACACGGTCAACTTTGCAATGGCGTACGACGAGTACGGCTCACTGATGGGTCGGCAGCGGGTGCAGTCGGCCAGCTCGGGACTGCTGGCCCTGGGCGGCGGCGTGCGGGTGTGGGGCCGCGGTGTGGCTGTTCTCTCATGGGAGAGGCTCGTTGCCCTGGGGCTGCTGGTGCCGGCGGGTCTCGGGACGGGTCGGGCTTCGGGGTACGGCGGGCTGGAGGGGAAGATGTGGAAGGTGGATATGGCGCTCGAGGAGATTCCCGCGGGGTTGAAGTTGAACAACGTGTTGGCGCGGTGGTGTAAGGAGATTTGAGCGTGAACATCATTCTCCGATGAAGATATGACTAGGGCGTATAGAATCAGGCAATACACCAGTTATGAGCCATTGCTAGGCTTCCATATTTGCACCCCTAGGACCTGTAACAGTAGTTGGAGGCAAAGGAGCTGCTGATAGTGAAAGTTGAGCGCCTCCTTGGCGATCTCATTTCCACAACTGGTTCCCAGGGCTTGGCGCCACATGAGTACGGCGCGGTCTAACGATTCGTAGGGCGTGGTTGGCATAAGGTGGTCTGATTGTCTATCAAGTAAGGATGCCAGACATGCCAGGCGAATATCTACCTTGGGGAGCGTGGGAGGCAAGTAGGCACGTTTGGACCAGGTAGTTGTTTTGATGCGGCGCTAGGGAGACGATCCGGCCCGGTGTCTAGGCTGCTTTTGTCAAGGTCGGGGTGTCGTTGGGTTCTTGTTTGGAATCATGGAAATGCAGTCTGCTTATGGATGTAAGATGTAGGTGTGAAGAGAGGGGAATACGAGGACGGCGGGCAGTATTTCTATCTCTCTACTCTTGTTCTCCAAGTCTCTAGGGCGGTTGGTTTTTTTGGGATTCTTTTGTGTTTAGTGATCATGAGAGTAGCGCATTTCGGGTAGCGTCAGCCGGGCGATTGTAATACTATAGTGAACTACCGATGTCTTTGAGTGTATCATGAACCGAAGCGGACTCCATTGGTTATGGTCTGCTGTCAAGTAAGTCCTAGTTTAAAGTCTAAATTGGTTTGTGGTAGTGCAGTGTGGTAGTTTGAAGGTTTGATGATGGTTGTTGCTTGGGGGAATTTGATAGCTGCGTAACGGCCGTAACGTCGTCGTCGTCGGACGCGGGGGGCGAAGGCCAAGATGCAGAGTATGAAGATCTTTGGCACTTTGGGTGCGCCTTTGCCCTTTTTGCGTTTTGTTTCTTGTTTCTCTATAGACAGGCACCTGAATACTGTATGCGGTCAACTTATGACCCCGGTCACGAGGCAGGGTGGGTTGAAGAAGGGAGTGTCTGGCGGAATTATAACCATATCTCCGTAGCGGAGAATGGATGAAGACATGGATTTAGATGATGTCACGATGTCACGATGTCACGATATCGCGGAGAAACACGTGCTGAATAAGATAGAGTATGATCCCTTCTGGCCGGGGGATATATTCATAATTAAGCGATTTTCAGGAGGCAGCGAGAGGGGGAAGGGAGGGGAGGTTGGAGTAGCCAGGGTTGTGGTTGATCTGACGGGATGACGGGGTTCGTGAAACCTTTGATCATCGTAGCAGTGCATGGGCTGTGATGGCCTGTCAGAAGGTAGGGGGAGGACAGGACAGATTATCTCTTTAGATGCTGCGTGAGACTGCGTGAGAAATGAGCATGATCAAATGCGGTTGTCAGCTTGTCTACCTCTCTAAGGCTGGTTGACGAATGTAAGAAGACGGTGAGTGCAGTCTGAAAGGTCCAGTGTGTTAGTCAAGAAGCGCCAAGGGACGGCGGCCGCCTCGGGTAGTTTGTGGTAGTTTAAACGACGTTGGAGGTGTCAGTGACGTCCCTCCCTCGGGCGGCCGCGTGCCAAGAGATGTAAGCCGGCCGCTCCCTCCCAAAAGAGGCTTTTCTCACCTACATTTGAGGTACACAACATCTCCACTGCCCTCATCTACCGAAGTCTGGACCTCATTGGATCCTTTCCGAAGTGCGCATGGTCGCGCACCGCCTGCAGCTTTACATAGGTATGAAAAAAGAGGCGTTTGTATCAAGAATCCCATTATTCTCGTATTCGCTCATGCTGGAAAGATGGAGATTGGTGAGAGAGAGAGAGAGAGCATGCAAGCCACACGCGTGGTTGTTGGTGTAGGTACTTTGGCTGGACGGAAGGGCCCTGCAGCTCGGGACTGGACGTCTTGGTGCTTGATTGAATCGTTGCATCGGCCCAATGACAGCACCCGTCTCGATACTTTCCAGGCAAAGACGGGGTCGGGTACGGATACCTTTAGTGATCAGTCGTCCATCGGGTACAGGGTGGTCCCACAAGTCTGGGAACCCGGCGGCCGCCCGCCGCCACGTTGCGGCGGGTTGAATTCCGCACACGGGCATCCAATCTGGTGGGTTTCTTGGGGGGGGTTTGGGTGGTTTGGGTGTGTTTCTCTTTTCTTTGAGTTCCATTAGGTTTTGAGTGTCTGGGTCCTCCAGGTGCCACTGTCATCTGTCATCGATCCGAGTTAGCCATGTGCCGAGAAACACCAGGGCAGTCTTGATCCATCATCTTCTCTCTCCCCCCCAGGACCACTGGACCGTCCACCCGAACACAATGTCTTTTGAAAACATCCAGTGGGACACATCAGCCGCATGATCTCTTTTTGTCTCTGAGTCTGGGGAAGGGGGCTGAGCTGATGGGACGACAGAAAAAGACAAGAGAAACGTCCGAGCCGAGCTGCCTGCCTGCCTGCCTTGGTTTTAGTGGCAGCACAGAAACTTGTCCCCTTGTTCTATGTACGCAGTAAGGTACTTTTTGTGTGTGTGTGCGTGCGAGAGTGAGGGAGAAGGGCGGCGGCCGCCCATGCTTCTTCCCCCCATGCCATCCCAATCCATCCCGTGGCCCCCGACGACTTTTGTACGCATACAGAAGTACGAACACCTCAGTTCAGCCAAAAAGGTGTGAGGTAAGATGTGCATGGGTCCCGTCCGCCTGATGAGATTTTCTCGTTAATTTTCAATTTGTGATTCTCTCCGAAGCTGGGGGAAAACAAAACTAGGAGGTTGACCGCATCTTTTTTATTAAGTGACATTGGGCTACAAGTACTAAACGAACTGGCATCAGTTCCTTCCTTACCCGCTCTCCGCCGCTTTCTTTTCAGTGATTGGCCTTGATTTTCTTTCCGTCTTTCTGACGCTGTTCTTGATCAATCATCATCCTTGGTTTGCCATCTACTATACCCAAGGTACATATCCCTTCCTACTTCGAGGTCATCCCGAATCTACTTCGTTTCCCTCAAATCTCCTACAACTTTACACTCCCAAAACACCTGCCTTGCCTTACATCACTCAACTACCTGGCCTTGATTAAAAAACAACTCCGTGGTAGTGCCCCTTCTTGTTTCTTCCCACGGACACTAGACTTTCCTCACCTCCAAACCTGCTCTTCACCGGAATCCTTGCCCTGCTCCCCTTACCCAGAGCCCTGTCTTTTACCGGCTCCAACCCTTTCCGGCAGGGAACCCAGCTCAAGGGGACACACATACCTAGTGCACACTACACAGTATATCTTACTGCGGTACAGATACTAGCATCCGTACGGATAGTGTGGGTAGTCGGGCTTCACCGTGCCATCACCGCCCACCACGCACAGCTACGCCTCGCGGAGCCAATCTCATCCGGCCGCCCTCTGCGCCTCCGTCCTCCGTCTCCGTGCCAAGCTGGCACTGCCTCCGAACCTCAACGCATCGATTCCACTTCCACCGCATAACCTGGCAAGGCCCCATTTCAATACCCTTCCGGGCTTCCATCTACCGTTTTACCGCAAACTTGACTTTTCAATTCTCGATTTTCAGACCCGAATTCTTGGGACTACACTACCAACCTTACTCACCTACCTAACCTCTCAACCGACTCCTCTACACCAAATCTATTCCATTTTCTTGTTCTTGTTCCATCCCATATCCGCTTCCGCAACAGAGCTGCTTTTCACCCCCAAACTAGAGCTCAATAACCTTAAACTCACATCACATCTTAACCTTCAAACTCGTCTCCAGGTACAGACTTTCTGCACATGGGGTCGAATACCCGCATCTAAACAGAGAACCTCCTCCCTCCGCCCACCAACACATCTATTTTTCTCTCTCTTCCCTCAACCATGTCAAAACGCACAACCTTCACCACAATCTCCCCTCTACCCCCAGGCATCACCCGCGATGCCGTCCTCGACTTCCTCCACAACCACCTCGAGATGATCGACCTCAACCCCCTCATCAAAGAACGCCACCTCATCCCGCCACCACCCAACGCGCCCCCCGAAGAGCACGCCTGCGCGTGGTACTCCCTCACCGACGAGATCTCCTACCTGCCCGGCGGCCTGGCCACGGGTAACGTCAGCTACACATGCTGCTTCCACGACCTGCTCACCGGCCTGCAGACCCACTGCTACGCGCCCATGGGCCTCGAGATCCGCGACAAGTGGACCGTGGCCGGTTCCCTGCCGGGGGAACCCGTCGAGCCCGTCGAGCTCGGCATCGGCGCCCCGCTCACGGGGCTCTACATCCGCGAGGACGTCGATATGCGCTGCAACGTCTTCACCTCGAGCTTTGTCAAGAAGACGCTCAAGAAGAGCCATGGTTTGCTGGTCGACCGCTTAAAGACAAAGGTTCACCGCACCGTCGTCGCGGCCGCGCATCAACGGCACGGCAGTCAGAACTCACTACCGGGGTCGGTCAGGTCCGGCTCCAGCGGGCACAGCGCCACGCAGCTGCAGCATCAACAAACATACCCGAACCCGGCTTACACGAACAACAACGTCCTCGGCAACCAAATCAGTCTCCCATATAGACCTTCATATCCCAACAACAGCATACCCGTAACCGCACCAACACCAGCACCGACACCCCCAGCCAGCGACGGCTCCCAAACCTCACAAAACGCATACCCGGAACCCCTCCGTGTCCGCCGCACCACTAACCAAACTGACTCGACGTTTTCTCATCAACACCAACATCAACATCAGCAGAAGCCGTCGTGGCCGGATATCAAATCGCAGACGTCCACCGCCAACGGGTACGCGCACGCCAATTTCTTGTCCGGCCATAACAACGCATACGACGCGAAGCCTTTACCTCCGTCGCCGTACGCGGGTGGGAGAGCGGGAGCGGGAGGTGGTGGAGGAGGTAATGTTGGTCAGCAGCAGCACCAGCGGAATGGGTGTCAGCAGAACAGTGGCGCAACGCTGCAAGGGCCCTTTGTCGCTGAGCTGGAGTGAGTGAGATTTCGGGAGGGGAGTGGTGGCGGAGTGTGCCCTTTGTGTCACAGTCTTTTGTTTCCCGTCGTTTCGGCCTAAGGGTCTGTTTGTGTTGCTTATATAAACTCGATACCCCATATCTTATTGTTAATTTTTGGCAATTTATCAAAGACATGTATACTAGTACATGAGAACTTCTTCATTGCAAGTGAGATCTAGGTATTTTGTGTAGCACGGGTGTGGCGCAGGTTCCGTCCTTAGGTTGGTGAGATTGGTGAAGTTGACTAAGATTAAGTCTCAATTTTCCGGACATGAGGCTGAGATCTTGTCGTCTTTCATATTCAATTGAATGACTAAGATCTTATACAACAAACCGCTATTCCAAATAGGCAATCTTTTACATCACAACACAAACTAACAAACACCGTGTTGCTACAGACCGAAAATCCTTCTCAACAGAGACATCAAATCCCCCGGCAACTTTCTCATCAAGCTCATCATTCCCTCCCGAGCCAGCTGAGACCCCTGAGCTTCCTGGCCCTGTTGCTTCTCCTGCTCCTTCACCTGCGTCTCCATCCCCTTCTTCGGCGTGGGCGTATACCTTCTTTCCCCATCCAACCTCTGCATCCCATATCTCTTGGTCACAAGCGTAGACCAAACCTCCATACCCAAAATCCACGAAACGCACCCGTCCCGCAAGATGCTCAAATTCACATCATCAACCTCGTCTTCCAACATCGGCAGCCCCTCGCAAACTCCAAGAAACTTCTTCACAAGATCACTAGTCTCCTCGCCCAGCTTCGTCATGGCCTCTTGCGCACCCATCTGGTCCTCCTCCATGAGAACCCTCACACCATTATGCCCGTCCTCGCCCTTGGCCTGCTCTTTATCGAAACTGTAAATGTCGTTTTGGTTGATGATGACGTCGACGCAGAGACCCAGCAGCGAGTCCACCGCGGGACTCTGCAAAAAGCCGGGGCGGATGGCGCGGTCGATGAGGAGGAGCGCCATGCCCGGGAGGACGCCAATGGTACGCCGCCGGACGACGACGTACCTCTCCCGGCTCGGCACGCAGTTGTGTCCTCCCACCTCCCCGTCCGGCCCCGTTCTCCGGAGCGCCACCTCGTCGCCCACGCCGTCGAGGTAGTCTGCGAAACTGTCCACGAAGAAGTCCCACGAGTCGAGCGTGCCGCCTACGGCGTCGCTGCGATAGCGTATTGCAATGTCGGCTGCCATGCGGACGCCCACCCACACCTCGTCATCCTCGTCTCCGTCCCGATCTTGCCCAATCTCCTCGGGATGCCGAAACGCGCGGACCATGGCGGCAGATTGCCTCCGCACCTGGGCCTCGCCCTCCTCCGTATCGTCCACGTTGTCCGTGAACTCGTCAATGACGAAGAAGTGGAGCATGACGAGCGCAGCGAGAAGAACGTGGCGCGTGGGCTGGTGGGCGTAAATAATGCATGCTATCTCGGGGAAGTCGCCGGCGATGATCTTGGAGATGAAGAGTTCGTTGATGCCCTTGTTGATGGAATTTGGCTTGGCGTTGCTGTAGCAGTAGCCTCGCAGCCAGCTCTCGGATTCGGCCTTGATGTACTGGGAATTTGGGTGGTTGTTTGGGGGGTAAGGAGATGGCCAGCTTGGGTGTCGGCGCCAGTCTGCTAGGAAATCTGGGATTTGGATGGTGGTGTGTTGGACGGTATGTTTCTCAGTGATTGGGGACGCCATGATTTACGGCTTGCCAACGTAGATCCAGTTGTCTGGACTCTGGAGTAATATGACTGGATGATGGTGTAATTGAACTCTTTGAAGGGAAGAGGAGATTGCTGTTGACAAGTGAGAGCAGCAGGATTTGGTTTAATGTCTTAGGCTTCAAACGTTTCTTTGGCCACTGCTTGGAACTGAGAGCTTTATAGCCATCCTTCGAGGGGCTAAGCCGTACTACCAGCAGACTTTCGAGTCACGAGGCTCAGCAAAGACTGACAGGAAGCCTAGAACTTGATGTCATCCAAGGTACACGATATCACATCCGAACCAACTTGTCACTTTCAGACTTGATAACGGTCATCATATCGGCACACAATCACTTCCTAATCCGGATGTGAAACGGGGCCTCTTCCCACTCCGGAGACAAGGGACAGAGGCCAAAGGACGCAAAAACCTGATGTGAAAAGCTTCTCCACCTCCAACACGAAGAAAAAACTACCGATACACTGCCCATAAGGCGTCCCATCGAAGAGACTAGGCTATCGCCGTAGCCCACCGGAAAACCCTCTAGTGCCCCCACGCAACTCAGCCCTATCGCCATTGAGGAACTGCACAGCAGACGCTTGTTGGTTCGCAAACGCACCTAGGCCAATCAATTCGTGGCCCCCAAAGCCCATAGGGCTGAGACTTGTCCGGTCTTGTTGAAGAATCCGGTTCCAGGTCCGCGGTAGAGTTACCTTCGGACCGGGGCTGAGGGCTCCCCGGTCCCCGGCTCTCCGCCCTTCTCTTCCTTCCTGTGCCTCGGGCGGTGGCACGGTGATGGATGACTGGCTGTTTCCACACCCACACACACACACACACACACACACACACACACACACACATCCACTATCACTATCACTATCACACACTCTCTCACACATACACACTCACACAACGCCAACATCCTCTTACTTGCTTGTCCCGAGAATATCCATAAGATCATAAGCATGGGACAAAACTCCATCAAAAATAAAACATGCAACACCAGGCATTCGCCGGTCGTCTCCGACCCGACTACTACTCTGGCCCTCGCTGGTTTATCAATGGGAGAGCGGACGGGATCCCGAGTTCTCCAGTGGGTATGGTCGCATGTGTTGAGACGATCTGGCAATTCTGTTCTTGTTCCAGCAGGCTGGTTGACCGCGGAGCGTCGTTGGACGGGCTCGGCGGGATTACCAGAACCAGGACCCCGGGATCGACATAAGCCAGGGGATTAGTCACAACGTATCTAAGCCCCCCAAATTGGGGTCTGGAAAGTGGGATGTGGAGAACCATGTTGGTCACAAGTGCATGCTCTCTTTTTACTCAATTCGGCATCATCTTACCCCCTCCTCTCGTGCCACACCTTGTTCTGGCCGTGGTTGGGAGGACCGGTGGGAGCTGACTGTTTGCTTCGCCCGAGGCTAGCACACGGTGGCGGTGGTCCAGGCTTATACGGGCTGGGGGGGCATTTGCGTCGTTCAAGGTCTCGGCCCGGGAAAAGCGGGGCCGGCGCGGGCGTCCGGCTCTAGCAGGCAGCACAAGGCAAGGCTTGGGTGGCAGCCTGCCAGGCAGACATGGACGGAAAAGTCATTCGCGGGCGATGGTTGCTCCCTTCAAGGTGCTTCTAGATCGGGGATTGTGGCAGTCAAGACTTTTTTGTAGAATTGTTATCTGGCCACATGATCTTTACGGGTGAGCATTAAGCGGACAGGTTTGGAAATGACTCTTTCTCATAGTGCGAGGTTCAGAACATTAAATCTTTCGATTAAGCGGCAAGTTGCCTTACCAAGATCCAATTGCAAAGCCAATCGCGCGAACCTTGGAGGAATGGATATAGCTTTGGCCGTCACTCAATTTATCTAAGAGCAATCTCACGACAACGGTCCCTCAAGAGACACGTCGCACCTACATGCCAACTCCATCGCGAGGTTCTCAATCAAACACGCCCGCGCGGCATAAGACATGAGAAGCAAAAAAAACGAGAGAAACGACGTAGATTCGAACTCGCAACCTCCAGAGCCCATCATCGTATTCCGTAGAGAAACGTACATGTGTGAATACGCAGGCATCACATCATAAACATCGCTCGTCACCAAAATTACTATGGAGAACGATGCCATAAAAAAACAAACTATCCATGGCATTATGTAGGACCGTGAGCCAACATACGCTTCCACCCATTCAAGGGCAGGAATCGTACCGCTCAGCCATCGACTACAACGGACGGTGTTTGTTGAAAGATGCACCACTTTTGGTCCCTATATATCATTCTGCATGTCCAACATTGTGCTCTTGGTAACTTTGAGTCATCCCGCCTCCCGAGAACCGCTTTACACCCGAGCGATCAGCGATAAGGTAAAAATATAAAATCAAATACATCATTCTGCTATATCATTCTACTAATCTCACATATTATTGGCCCATATCCTCATCGTCATTTTCACACAGTACCCGTTCTGAAAATACAAGACCTATAACATCGCCTCTCATTTCCTGGCAGTCTAACGCTTCACAGAGCTGCAGTCAACGTGTGTGGGCGCCGGATGATACGTTGCCAAACTGAAGTTGGAGTTTCTGCCATTGGTGTAACGAGATAGGAATCGTGAAACAGACTCGTTCCACTGAGGCAAGGGGACGAAGGTAGGCTTCACTTCCCCGCGCGCCTGTCCACTCGCTGAAGCGCCGTGCAGCTCCGTCAACGAATAGAAACAAACTCAGATATCTTCAGCTACTAGGGCCAGAGCAAAGCGGCAGTGTTGGACTCCGAGGATCAGCTCCAGTTTTGTTGGTCGTTGGGCGCTTAAGTATGGCTTTGACCAGTCGCGTGCGGTGACGCCCGCCCGGAAAAGCGGGATCTCGAGGCTGATGCCCCGACTTCACTGATCGTCTGGGGAGATTCACTGCACTCGTCCTCTTTCCATCTCTAACTTCTAAACTCATACCAGGAATCATCAGAGCGAAACGCCGTTAGCCGGAATCAAGTCTATTGCTTTTCCTTTTTTTGGACTCTATCACCCGTTCGATCGTTGTTTCCGAGCGCTGAGCCCAAATCATCACCACCTCTCTCGTTGGCCCATCACTGGCCGGATTGAATATGGAAGAGAAGGCCCCTGCAGCTGAGAATATCTTGCGCCAACTGGATCTGTTGAAGAAACTAGACCTCTCAGATATTGAGGTTCAAATTCTTGATATTCTAGCCTACGACGTTCGAGCGACCAGTTGGGGGACCGCTTCAGAGGCTGCATTCTACTTGGACGCTCTGTGCCCTCCTCTAGAACAGCGCAAAGAGGCAGAAGGCTACTTCTATGTCATTTGGGGCCTCGTAACAGATATTGCAACCAGTCATGACGTGACAAAAGAGACGCAAACTCATCTCGTCAACACCCTGTCAGCATTGCAGCAATGTGCAAAAGGTGAAATCGACATCTGGCGTGTAAGTGTATTTCGCTAACGAGCACTCAAAATTGCTCATTAATGTTGGAGACCCAGTTAGTCACTGGTGGAAGGTCATCATCGTCGAGCATCATCAAACGCCTGCCAATTATGGAGGTTATCTCACGCTGAGTCACCGCTGGGGCTCTTCGCCATTCGTTCATCTCACATCGGACACACTGCCCGCATTCCAGAAAAACACAGCTATCAAGAGTCTTCCCAAGACCTTCCGCGATACGATCGCGCTGGCTCATCACTTCAATATTCGTCATATCTGGATCGACTCACTATGCATCCTTTAAGATAGCCCATTAGATTGGAAGAAAGAGTCCTCCAGAATGGACCACGTGTACTCCAACTCCACCTGCAACATCGTTGCCGCACACTCCGAGGGACCCGATGGTGGACTCTTCACAGCGAGAGATCCATCCGTCTTGGAATCGTTTGTTGTTTGTTCAGAGAGGACGGATATCCCGTCTGGCAAATACACCGTCTGGGATTACACGTCCATCCTAAACGACTACAACAGAGCCCCGCTGTACGAGCGCGGTTGGGTCTTCCAAGAGCGCTTACTACCCAAAAGGACTCTTCCCTTCGGTAAAGACCAAGTCTTTTGGAAATGTAGACGGCGCCTTGCCTGCGAGAGCTTGCCCGACGGCATACCGGTGGCACCAGACAACGACGTGGTCGAGCGCGAGAAAGGCGTCGCCCGAATACGCAGAATGCGCCCCTAAGAGGAAGAGGATTTGCCAGAGGATGAAGAAATGTTCGCAACTGTCTGCGAGCACCTGGTTGAGGAGTACTCGGGCTGTAGCTTGACCTACGAAAAGGACAAGCTCGCGGCCTTGAATGGAATGACCGGCATCTTTTCTAATGCCTCCTTGAGTCGATACATTTCTGGCATCTGGAATACACACATCGTCCGACAAATTTGCTGGAGCTTGAACCCTGCGGCGGAAAAGAAGCCCCGACCTGCTCATCCCGCCCCATCTTGGTCGTGGGCTTCCGTGCAAAGCAAGGTCTCGTTCAAGGCCATCGTGAACAACGACGAGAGCATCTTACATCTCGCGCGTCATTTCTACCATAGCGCCCATAGCGATGCTCCCGCAGGACGCCGCATACCACTCGGAGGCTATATCGGCATGAGCGGCAGCGTTCATACTCTCAAAGTGTCGCACATGTCCAACGACGGGGTTTCGCTGAGTCTTGATGGAAGGTCGGAGCGGCTGGACTACAACCCTTTCGTCTTTGACTTTTATCGGAAGGATTTACTCCCCGTGGAGGTGGTCATCTTGCCACTCATGTGTACCAGGGAACCTCCCGTCAACGCAGAGGGCGTCGAGATTGCCGGTTTGATATTGCATCCTTTGGGCTACATCATCGACGACTGCGGGAACATGGCACTTCGAGGATCCTACAGCTACGAACGTGTGGGGCTCTTCAACTTCAGGCCATATGATGGGAAAGGACAACGATTGCTCTACGGGTCACATTTCACCGAGGCAGAGAAAATCAAAGGCCCGTACAGGAGCAATCACCGTATACATTTAGAGTAGTCCGTCATTCGTAATGAAAACAGACCATCAACATCTGTGATTCACAAAGTGAATGTGATCGTGTCTATAAAGCTCGAGTCTGATAGAGAAGAGATTTTTCCTGCAGATATTGCGACTTCATTGTAGCTGAAATCGAGCCCATAGTGCTTTAGTCGCAAATTCGAATACCGATGATAGACAGCGATGGGAAAGACTTGACCAGAAGTCATTCCTCGTTTTAGGCCCATCCACCTTATCCCTAATTACCCAGGCTGAGCTCGACAATCGTAGACAACTGAGCAAAAAGATTATGAAGTTGATCAAGAGCCTCAAAGTCCATACTTCGCCCTTGCTTTTCGTCCCTCGCTCAACTTACCGCCCATTGTCTTAACACTGCCCAAGAAAAGATCACGATTAAACCAAACCATTTTGCAAGTAACCTCAGGAATGAGTAAGCAAGTTTTCTGAGTCCGAGAATCTACTGGGGAGAAATATAACATAAGCTTAGCCTCTGGAGAAAAGCACTACACGGTTACGATGAGGGCTATCTATACCCAATATATCCCAATTCACAGACATTTCACTGCACGAAAAAAGAGGCATCATGGGACCAGATATGACACACACACAACAAAAGTGATAATTCTATAAAGTCTAAAAAAAAAGAGGATAAAGTATATAAAGGCGTATCAAAGAAAATACACCTAAATTAGGATGATAATGATGATGATAGCGGTGATAAGGATGCAGAGTGATAATGATGCTGAAGTGGGTTAATAATACCAATCGAAACCCCTTTTCGATCCTCCTTTCCCCCCCTTATGACAGAACCCAGCAATAAAACAATATTCTAACAAAGGAGATCCTTCATTTCGTCCCCTTTCCATCCACTGAAGCAGTGTCCATCCCGCCCCTTTCCCCCAGTCTTTCACCCGGGTTCTAGCGGGATACTGCCGTAAGAAATGCTACTGCTGTCTCTTCCGACCACTCTACTCTCTCACACACACACACTCTCTCTCTCCTTCCTCGTCTAATTTCCCCCAATGCAAGGTTCAGATGTATCCTCATCTCTGGGCGTAATCGGCGTGATACAATGACGGGGCGTGATAACAATGATGATGAACAACAAAACAAGAAACACACACACTGAAACAATAATGATGTTGGATCCACACACTTTTCCGAAGCTTGGATGAGCGGGGTTCCAAACCACCCATGGATTCCAGAACTACAAAAGTTTCTTCTCTCTCGAAAGCCGTCCGCAAGGAAGAGATGACGATTGTAAGAAGGAGGAAACAAAACCTTCCAACTCATACCACAGGGAGAGAGAGAGAAAAGCACAAAGTTTCAAGGAGTGCAGAAGGCGCAGGCGAATCTGGCTTCACTTCACTCCCCTCAACTCCGCAACATGCTCCCCCGCCCAACGCACATGAGTCTTCAACTTTCCCTCTCCTTCTGTGGAAGTCTCCCCCCATTACCAAAACGGCTGAGAGACAAGAGGAATGGTGCATGTCTAGTCTCCAAGGAGGAAAGGAAAAAGCCACGGAAAAGGTGGGAATGTTGCAACCAAAGAGGGAAGAGAAGCCGAAGCATTCAACCCCCCCCTTTACAGAGCCAAAACGGCAACGACACCAGCAACGAGAGCAACACCAGCAGCAGCGGCGTTCTTCTCGGCGCCGGCGACGACGACGGTCGTAGGCTTGGTGCCGTTGGTGCCAGCGGTGCCGGTGGCGGGGCAGTTGGGGCTGCCGGGGCAGACGAGCGCGCCGGTCTGGCTGGGGGTAGCAGCACCGCCGGCACCACCAGCGCCACCGGAGGCAGCACCACCAGCACCGCCAGCACCGCCGGAAGCAGCGGGAGGGCAGTTGGGGCTACCGGGGCAGACGACGCCAGCGGAGCCGGTCTGAGCAGGGGGAAGGACGGATCCCGAGGCGCCGGGCGGGCAGTTGGGGCTGCCGGGGCAGGTGATGAGGCCGGTCTGGGTGGGGACGGCGGGGGGCACGTCGGTCTGGGCGGGCGGAGCGGGGACGACGTAGCCGGTTGCGTGGGCGCACTCGGAGCACTGGTTGGTGGTCTTTGGTGTACGTGTTAGCCATGGCTTCGGACAAGAGGGGATGTTCGTCAGAGGTAGAGAATGAGGAAGGGTAAACTCACGTAGGTCTGGGTGCAGGGGCAGTCGGGGATGATGAAGGTGGTGGGCTGCTCAATGGTGTAGGTGCGGTTGTTGAAGCAGAGGGTGGTGGGCTGGGGGCAGTAGGTCGTGACGGCGTCCCAGACCTTGGTGATGGTGTAGGTGCCGTTGGTGTAGACGTGCTCGTAGGCCGAGGCCGTGCCGGCGACGAGGGCGAGGGAGACGAGGGCGGATTGGATCTGCATTTTGTCGGTTGGTTGGTTGGTGTAAAGTGTGTGTGTGTGTGTGTGAGAGAGTTGTAGTTGTTGATTTTTGTCGGTTATCGAGTTACTTGCTGAGCGAGTGAGTTTCGAGGGAGCGTGAGGGATTGTCCGGAGAGCAAACAGAGCTAGTTAATGATTGTTTGAAGATTTTGGTTTCTTGTTAAGGAGAGTGAGTTGCAATGTTTTGGATTTTCTTTTCAAGAGAGTGACTGAGGCCAATTGAAGCAAATAAAACGAAAGGGGGGGAACCTCCGAACAAACGAAAGAGTTCTTGGATGGATGTATGTGAGATGTGTGTGTGTGAGGGATGAAAGGGAAAGAGAGGTGTCACAAGAAAACGGTTCAAGAGCCTCCTTCTTATGTCAATCTCATACCGATACGAAAACACATGAAAACACACCAAACGTTCAACTCAGAACCAAAATAAATCAAAAGATATCCACCGGAACGGCACGCTCAGGGGTTGGCGATACCCAGACAAGCTGACGAAAAGGCTTAGCCTTGCAAGACGGAGGAAAGGGAGAGGAAATGCTAAGCCGGGAACCAACGAAATTGTCTCAGGAACACGACGACTACCTCCCACCTTTCCACTCGAAAAAAGGAGCCTCTGGTTCTCTGGAACACGGCAAGATTGGACGTTGTGAATCTTGGTTCTTCGGGACCAATGAGAAGCTCCGGACTCGCGGCCGGGAATGTTGGTGGAGTCGCCCCGGGCCCGTGTTTGTTGTGGTCCGTTGAGCTGCCAAGAATGTTTCCACCGGCCGCCGGTAATGTGGCGCATTCCAGCATTTCAGGTCCAGGAGGGAAGAAAGTCGGCAAAGACGGAAACCAAAGGTAGATGGGACGAATGAGTTGACAAACACATGGAAGGGAGCCAGGAGTAAACACACCTTCCTGTCTCGACTCCTTTCTCCCATCCTATTTCGAGCTCTGCAGATTTCATCATTGAAGCATTCCTATCACACAGGGGACACGAGCATGCGAGCACCGGCATGGCAAGTTTTGTGGTACCGCTTTCATATGCTTTCCTTTCATTCGGAGGCGAGTTGAAAAGGTCGAGCGTTGTGCGCCCCCACTCGGTTCGTGGAGCTCTGAGATATGTACAGTTGGGCCAGAATTGCTCCTCGACCGCTCGTCTCCCTTTTTGTCCTCCCCCTTAGCCCACAGCAAGTTGCTCGCTTCGCGATGTCCACACGACATCCACTTCCGGCATACCAATTGGCAGCGAAATCGCCCTCATCCTCCACTCTTGTGACGAACAAAATCGTTCATCCGTCGCCGTAAGCTCGTCTCGGGGGTCGTGGTTGAGACTGCGCTCTTTCATGCCGTCCTTCTATGATCGTCCGCCCCACCCAGCCAGTTATGATTGAAACAAAATGAGAAATTAGAAGAGAAGAAAAAAACCAAAAAAAAAAAAAAACGGAATAAAAAGAGTCGAGTCCGCGTGTGATGATGACGGCGAGGTCATGCGCAAGCAGGGTCGGTTTCGCCGACTCAAGGGGTCTCCCTCTAAGAATAGTTCCATCCCCAACGCCTTCATTTCCAAAATAATCAAGATGGCGGCCAAGATCAGCCCTGGTTGGGGGCTACTCTGTTGGAAAAAACCGAAAGATCTTGCCCACCGCCCGTTGATGAATCAAAGACCATCCACTACGTATGCACAAGATTATGGGTCGAGGAAAGTGCCGAGAATTGCCAAACGGCCTGCGTGTGCCAGTATCGATGGAGTCGATCCTAGGAACGCGATCGGTCTTGTTGTGATGAGATTGTGCAAGAAAAAAAAATGCCGTCTCATATTGAGTTTGGGGAAGCAGAGTTGCGTAATGTCAAATATTCCGTTCATTTACGGTTCGATCGGCTCGTGCTTCGCTCCAAGCCGCGGCCGCCGCTGGTGACTGAGTCGAAATCGTAGTTCTTCAGGGTGTGTTCGTACTTGGGGCTCCTCAGGAATTTGGGAACCGAGTCCTGCAAAAACAAGTTGGGTTAGTATAAAATCCTCACATTCCACGGTGCATCAGTCGGAACAATAAACATACGCTTGCCATCAGTTTAAAAACTGCGTTCTGGGCATCTTCAAACAAAGACATGACCTCTTGCAAAGTATCGATCATGGCTACATCCTGTCCGACAGCCTTGGTCATTCGAGTCGCCAGGTTGTTGCGAAGCTGATGGTCAATGTTCAACTCGCAGGGAGAGCCGGGGGCGAGGAATGCGTTATAAATCCCGTATGCCTGGGCCATGATCTCCTTGATGCCGTCCATTGAGCTCGCATTGGGGTTCTTCTGCGCGATCCGAATCGCCTGCCGGCAGCTTCGAACAAAGTCGTCGACGTCGAGGTAAAAGGAAAGATTCTCCTCGCAATGTGTTTCGCGCAGGTTTTCTCTGAAGAGCAGACGAAGGGCCGCGTCGTTGAGAATCTTGTCGAGCCGTTGGGTGTTGGAGTCTCGCGCGATAGCGTTACGAGAGGGTGTGACGACCTCGCTTTCTGACGTTCTTCCCCGCGAACCGAGACCGTTGATCAGATCCTTGCCCTTTGCCGTCAATTGGTAAATGGCATGCTTTGTGGGCTGGAACAGGTTATTGCTGGGATATTGTGCCATATGAGCACGGTCTTGTACCACGGGCTCCATCAAGTCGTACTCCACGAACAGGGACGCGATGTCGTACGTCTCCCGCCTGTCTACGGTTGTGCAGCAGTCCATCAACCAATCAGTGGCGGCCTTGCCAGTAAAGGTATCTTTGTACGTCTTGCCGTTCACCTTACGCTCGCTAGCCATCTTGACACCAGTCAAGCCATCCTTGTAGTCGCTGAGTGAGTCCGAATCGGCTGAGCTGACGCTCGATTTGACATTGGGGCCGTGTGTTCCAATGAATCTCCTGAAAATGACCTCAATTGTGCCGCGATCCGTGATGAGCTTGTCCGTCTGGCCGTCCCGCTCGAGAATGACGAGTTGCGAGAGTGTTGCGCCAACCAAGTCGGATATCGACTTTTGTTGGATACCGTTGCGTGAGCAGAAGCGATCCAACACGGTCACGCCCTTGGGCGTCAATTGCCACACGGAACCCTTCATGTTGTACACCTGTTGGTACTTTCCATCGGCCGACTCGATGAATCTCGCTTCGAGGAACTTTTGGCAGATGGAGCGTGCCATGTCCTTGGCCATGGAGAAAGTCGTCGTTGTGGTCGTCGTAACTATCCTTGAGGGGTCTTTGGGGTCGGGCATACGGTTGGATTGAGAAAATTTGAGAGATCCCAAGTTGTTGATCGCATCTTCGGACAAGAACGTGTTTTCCACACGTGTCAAGCGTACTCGGTGTGCAGACAAAGGCAAAAGGCTGACAATAAGTGTTGAGTAGAGATCCTTGAAGTCCTGTCATTGTTCCACGTTAGCCATCTGTGAACCACGGGGTTCGGTCAAAGCGACCGGGAATGCGACCGGGGCACTGGATGCGCGATTCTCGTCGAGCAGGTCAGGAATTGGGAGAAATGGGACTGACCTTTGTGAACGGCCGGTCATCATCCGTCATGCGGAGAAGCCGCGAGGAGGTTTGGTGCATCTTGCTTTCGATACTCGGCAATCGAATGGGAAGGGGCCTGGTCGGATCGGTCTCGCTATATGGCTGAGAGGGGATATCCTGTACCAGCGACACCTGGCTTGGATACTTGCCCTCTATGTTGTTCAGGGTGCTGCTGGAAGAGGACGAGTAATTGGAGGGGCTCGTATATCGTGGATATTTGTCTTGGGAACCCAGATTGGCAGAGTAGTCGGAGGCAGAGTCGGGGGTCAAAGAGGCGCGGCCCAATGCAGAACTGGAGGCGCGCTGGCGGACAGACTGGTCCGAGGAAAAGGTAGCGAGTGCAGACTGGGTCTTGTCAAAGGCAGCAGCAGCGAAGCCAAAGATACCACCAGAACGCTGAAGTTTGTAGAGGGAACTGGTAGAAGGCGAGTGGTGATGAGAGCGATAATAGGGTCGGTTCACCGAGGGCGCCTGTTGTTGTTGAGCGTGGTAGGGATGGGTCGATGATGATGTAGTGGTGGTGGCAGTGGCAGTTGCAGCAGCAGCAGCAGCAGAAGGAGGAGGAGTGCTGGAAGTGGTGGTGGTGCCGGTGCTGGTGGTGGTAGTAGTAGTAGCGGTGGATCGTGGATTAGCACTGGTAGGGTTGGGGTTGGCTTTGTGTGTGAGAGGTTGAGAGCTGGCCTCGTTTGACAATGGCTCGTGGTTCGGAGGTCGGGATGTCTTGGAGACAGCGGCCATCTAATGGGAGGAAGAGGGTTAGAAGAGGCGCAGAAGGCAAGACGGGTGTTCAAATAAAAGGCACGGCGCAGAAAATGGAGAAGGAAAAAAAACTGAAGAGAAAGCGGGTGGTTTGGTGAGGCAGGGCGTGAAGGAGGAGAGGAGAGGAGGTGTGTGGTAGTGGTAGTGGTGGAGGAGAAGGAGAATAAGGGACAAGGGCTGCGAATGGAGCGAAGAGGGAAAAAAAGGTACTTGGCCGAGACGAGGTACAGTACGGAGTACACAGGCCTCAAGGGGTTGATGTACATGTAGACGGCAGAACCCTGTAAGTAAAAGATACAAGGGGGGGCAGGCTAATGGGAGTGGGAAGAGCGTGGGAGTGAGACTTCTGGCTGACAAGGGGAGTGGGGGAGTGCAAAGTAGGTGGGAGGAGGGTAAGGTACGGGAGTACTTGTGGACTTTCCATGCCTGGCCTGACGGACGCTCCACGCTACGGCTACGACAAGCAGAAAGAGAGAGAGCGGGCAGTAGCCGGGCAGAACTAAGGCACCTCCAAGTACCTAAGTCAGGGCCAGCAAGAGAGCAGAGCAGAGCAGAGCAGAGCAGAGCCAGGGCAGTAGAATTTTGAACCACCTCACCTCGACCACAATTGAGAGGATGAAGATGGCGTACGGAGTAGTGTAGGTAGGTAGGTAATTGGGGGGGGGGGGAGTGAAAGGGAAGAAGGGATGAGATGCCGATGATGAAGCGAAAGCCAAAAAGCGAGATGATGGGATTAGACAGGCAGTCAAAACCCAGGTACTCCAGAAAGTGAGACCGAGAGCACCCATACACAGAGAGACAAGATAATGTCGGACATCGCGAACAAGGCTGCTCTCTTCCTCTTCTCTCTATCCACGCCACACTTGTTTTTGCTGCTTGAATGAAGCTTCCGCCGGGGACTTGCTCACCTGCGGCTAGGAGTAGGGGGCCACCCACGCGTGGGAAACAGGTTGATTTACAAAAATAACGGGGGAGGGGTGGTTATTTTCTTCCAGGACCACGGGAAGAGGTAATTCGCACTAGGTATAGGGTAGGTAGGTGGTATGTACTCGGATGATGAAATGGTTCAACAAGATTGGATAGAGGAAGGGAAAAGAACGAAAAGTTCGAGACTTTGGTTACGGGCGGATGATGACTGGGAAGAACGTGGATGGGGGAGATTTGAGAAATGCGGGCTACGGATATGACCGTCGTGCCTGTGCGCTGCCGCAGGGTAACTAGGTAATAGGTAACGGTACGGGAGATACTGACTTGACTGAAGAAGCTGCAAGTACACGATGATCCAAACAATTCGATCTAATTTTTTTTTGGCCAGAGAGTCCAGGCGTGACGTGATAGTCAAAGCTATTCGTCTCTGAATGGCCACCGGGGGACTGGACTGCGGGCTTGAAGGATTCTGTCTGCAGATTTTCAAGCCGCGCTTGGTGACATGTGTGTTATGTGTGCCAGCCCAGTGTGTAGTGGAACGGACGGGGCGGCGGCGCGGGCGGGCGCGGACGACGGATGAGTTTTTGGGCGACGGTGATGTGCGAAAAGGACGACGGCGGGCCAAGGGGACAAACCGAGGTGAGCAGGAGCAGGAGCAGGAGCAGGAGACGGCCCCTCAGAAAGAAGGCCGACGAGGTAAAGTGGACGATGCGGATGATGCGCGCGTAGGTAGGTATGTGTGTGAGAGTCTGAGAGATGAGACGGGAATAACAGGTGTAGCAAATGGCAATAAGCCAGCCTCGCAACCCGATCCAAGCACCTTCACAGTGCTACGTACGGATACCGCAGAGAGGAGAACACGAGGAATTGGGATTGGTGTATGGATGGTGACAAGTTAAGCGTGGTGGCTGACGCTGGGATGGAGTACTCCGTAGATGGGAAACGAGGGGGTTGATCTGGCGAGTGCCCTTTCTCCTTTTTTTCCAGGTCGAGGTTTTACGGAAGTGCTGGGTCAAGGTCAAGGTGTAGTAGGTAAGGTAAGGTAAGGTAAGGCCAGCCAATGTCTCCGTAGTATAGGTAGCCTGTAGGTAATAATCGGTATCCGTAGTTCCAGGTCCAAGGTGTGCGAGTGAGGTCTGAGGTGTGGACGGTAAGGCCAGGCCCGGGGTGGGAAAGGGAAAAAAAAAAAAGGGGGGGGGGGGGGGGGGGGCGGAGGGGGGGGGGGGGGGGGGGGAGGGGGGGGGGGGGGGGGGGGGGGGGGGAGGGGGGGGGGGGGGGGAAGAGGGAGAGAGGAGGGGGGGGGGGGGGGGGACTATCTCCGTAAGAAAGGAGACGATGCGGGAAGAGCGAAGACTTGAGACCGAGGCTCAGCAACGTGAGACTTGACGGTTCCCCCTTCTCTTTGGTTTTAGGTGTTTGCGCTTGGCTGGCGTGCGCCGTGGTGTGTGGATGGAAGGGGGGGGGAATAATGCGCCTTTGGTATGGTAGCCAAGTATCCGTATGGGATTTGCTGGTGGTAAGAGGCTAGAGCAGGACCGGAATAGGGTCCTGTTTGATATTTTGCGACTATGCCGGCCCCGTACGATATAGGACGGGCAGTCAGCGGTAGTTCGATTAGACTGAAAATTGGCTTGCGGGTTGTGTGAACTAATTTTCCCCTCTCTCTCTTTCTCAATCTCTGTTGGGTTCCTCTCTCGTCTGGGTCGGCGTCTGCGTCTGCATGCCCCTAGGTTCTCGTAGGATTCGGGAAAGGTAAACCGAGAAAGAAGAAAACTACGCCGTATGGAGTAACGCAGTACAAAAAAAAAAACCGGGAAAAATGAAATAAAACCGGGGGGTGGAACTCGTGGAGGCAATTTTGGGCGTTTGACTGATGGATCGATGGATTGATCTAGAGTCCAGAGGTACGGGATACTAGCTGGCTTAGCTGGGATGGGAAAGATTGGGGGGCAAGAGAGAGAGAGTTTACCCCCTTTGGTCGGAACTTGTCCAGCAACCAGTCCCACGAACAGGCGAAAGAAAGAGTGGACGAAACGTGAAGAAGCCACGAGACTAAGAAGACCCCAGGACAAGAAGTCAGCCAGGCCGGCGCGGGTTCAAACATGGACCAGGGGCGAGGGAAAAAAAGAGAAGCCAGCGAACCCGATCTTTCTTAGGGGCGAGCCACGGCAGCTGACGGGCGAGAGAAGTAGGGAATGATGTGCAGGACGGAACAGGAATAGGAGCAGGAGTACTCTGTACGGAGTAGAAATAAGAGCAAAGAGGTGGAAACTTTGGGGAGAAATGCCATTCAACGTGTTCTTATTCTTATTTTGCCCAAATTTTTTGTTTCCCTCTTGTATGACCAGACCCGACACGTTTTGTCGTGCTCATAGATTCATTCTTTGATACTCTAATGCAACGCTCTTGTATCCGTATACATACTTGCTGCCGTGTGTGTGTGAGTGAACCAGGTGGGCCATCGGAACAGGCTGTCTGTCTGCATTTCTCATTCGATAGAACCATAACCATGCAAGGTAGGCTCTTCGCCAACGCAAACCAAAAGACGGGAGCCATGCCGTGTGGCCAGCCATGCCGCAACCCCCTTCACGGATGAATAGAGCTCGTTGCTGCCACGAGGCAGATTGATAATGGTGGTGCCGCCTGCATGCATGTCCTCCGTGGTCGTCTCTCACCGGCCGCCATCCATCGCCCGCTAACCCACTGTTCCTGTAGGGTACCTTTTTTTATTATAATTATTTTATTAACCCGATGATGAGACCTTGTTATTGCGAGGTTGTTTCTTTGAGTCGTTTCCAGAACTTCCTTTGCCCGCCGGAAAATTGTCTTTCCCTAACAATTGACAAGGTGGAACCATACACTGTCGTCATTGTATCTGAACGGTTTCTAGTTTCCATCCGTAATGAAAGGTTTTGTATCCGTATCGCACCGTAAAGAGGTGAAAGCGAGAAGGTACGGAGTATGAATGGAGCGGTTGAGAGAGATATCCACCACCTAATCCCGCTGGACGGCGGCCCATTACAGTGAAAAAAAGGTGTCGTATGGGGACCCTGCCCCCAATGGAAGGACTCCATTCCACCGCACTTCCCCCTCTGGAAAGCACACATGCCATGGCTCCTTCTTCACCCCTCACCATCCGGGACGGCGTGACGGAGGACGGAGGTGAGAGACAACTCTCACTCTCACTCTCACTCTCACTCTCACATGAAAGCTCCTCTTATCCTCTCATCTCGAAAGATATCGCCCTTTCACTCACTCTCATCCACTCATCCACTCACTCACTTACTCACATATCCATACTCTCATATTCGCTTTGACGGCTAGCAATAGCCTACCTAGTCAACGTCACCTTCCAAAATGCACATGCGAGCAATGAAATATCGTACTCTGTACCTAGCCACATCGCAAAGCTGTATACCTTACCCTTGCTCAACACCACCCCCCTTTATTTTCCTCAACTCCACGCCCAGGGGGGGCAACTAAACCTGGTCCCCTCACTTTCTGCCATGTGCCCTGCCTGCGCCTTCGCCATGAGGCACGGCGCCTCCCATTCCCATCAACTCCTCACTCAATCACACCTCACCCTACCCAAAAGGTGCTGCCGCTCTCTGGCTGGCTGGCTACTTTACCCCAGTCACGCCTTACGCAGCATGTCGTAGGGATTATTTCTATCATATCTCGCCGCGCGCTGCCGCAACCGCAACCGCAACCGCACCTCGCCTTATTGCAGAACTCCCGACTATTGCGCCGCCGCCGCCGCACGCCGTATTGAATCCCTCCCTCCGTCCTCCCCCTTCCCTTGCCTTCCCTTACCCCTGGTCGATGCCGTAGGTATCCATCGGACCATCCCTCTTTCCCTGGGGCTCCTTGTCCTGGCTGTGTGTATGTGTGTGACCCTGTCCCTCATCCTTACCTCATCTTTTCGAAGAGAAACAAAGGCTCCGTGGTGATATCAGAGATGTGCGGTGTGCTGAGATTCGCGGCCATCGGGGCTGGACCCATGGCCTGGCTATGTCTACGTACTGTACCTTTACTAGGTATATGGGGGTGGTGGGCAAGGGGAGCCGTATTCAACGTGTTGAAAAAAAAAAGGTGAGGTCGTGAATGGACGACGATGGACAGGTCGGTAGGGATTATCATGTGCTCTCCTCCCCCACCCTCCTTGTGGTGGGTAGGGAACAGGGAGCCATGCAGGTGTTCCTCAACCTCCGTCGCGCCTAGCTCCATCAAAAGCCGTTGCCTACAGTGTGAACTACCAAAAGGCTACGATGCCAGAGAGGAAGAGTGAATCTTTGAACAGCCGCGAGCCTTTCCGTCTTTTCTATTGCCGTGCGGCTGTGTAGTACATGATTTATTTTTTATTTCTTCAACAACCGATCGTTTATGTTCAATCTATGGGCCGGAAACTATTAGTTGGAGATGGTCAAGCCGCGGCGTATACTACCAGAAATGGTTTAAGTTGGTAATACGGACATGTCCCCGAAAAGACGCGAAAACCTCGCGCGGGATGTAAAAAACGTCACGAAGCCCCGACTTTACGGAGATGCCATGTGGTCAATGTGATGCGGACATTCCGCTGGTTCTCTCGTCGAACCAAGTGGATCACTCCTCTAGCTCCCGTAGCCCGTCGTAAAAAAAAAAGGCTCGCCGCCGTTGCGTGCACCGACATCACATCAGCAATTATCAATCTTTTGCTAGCAAAAAATCCCGTCTGCCTGGTCGGCGCCGTCATCCCCCCTTGAACCCACATCGTCTTTCTGTCTCTGACAAGAAGTGGGCTCGGTGTTTTGACGTTAACTTGCCTCCTTTTTTCTTCTTGTTTACTCTATCCTTTCCTCTGACAAGCTACGAGAGTATAATACGAATATAGATGCGAAAGAGTCATGAACACCTCCCAAGATCCGATAATTCTGCTCTACTCTTCTATTGTATCAATCTTTGCTGCCCACTGACATGTTGTCATGTAAGTCTGAGTTTCTCTCCCTCCCGTCTTCCGATATCGACTTCCGATATGTCGATTCGGAAGACGGACGCATGGCCGAGGCATCAAAAGAGACGCAGGCACACGTCCGTCCAACTCTCGTCGTTCCATTCAAGGAACGACGTTGTCGGTTGTCCCCCTCTTCGCCTTTTTGTCGTTTCTTTTCTCTTTTTTCTTTTTTTTTCTTGCCCGTTTGTATGTACTAGTGCTACTCCAACAAGAACCAGGTACGGAGAGTAGCCACGGCTTGGTTCCCGTCTGATCGGATGCGACGGGCAGAACATCTGCTATGTCATTACATCCGGCCGCGCCTAAGTGCGCTGAGGTTGCTATGCATATACCTCGCCCTTACTCCTCATGCATCCAGCCCCCAAAGGCAACGCAGGAAGGATACCTATGGGCAACCACAAAGAAAAAAAGGGCAGATATACCTCGCAGGTACGGTGTTACAGAGCGTGTCGCAACCCATCGGGCCCTGCCAATCGAACTGTACGGATACTCCCTCTCTCCCAATGACCGGAAAGACTTGGCCTTAGCATAATCTGATAAGGACAAGCCGATCATGTGCTGGACCAAAAAAGGTTGTCGATGACATATATCCCGGAATGGGTTCGCAAGCAGCTGTTGAGAAGGTTATGGCTGTGGCGCATTATTAGAAAGCCTCTCCCGCTTCCCAATAGGGCTTGACTCTGGTACTATATCGCAGCCTATAGTATGCAGCATCCATATCGCCATTGAGATGCACCAAGACAATGTGTGAGTGAGTTATCACCTGCAGGCCAATGCATCTATGTGTTCCCTTTCACAGGAGGCCAGGAGGAGGCGCAACATGGTACGATTTACATACCCCGTACGACCTTGCGATGTCGGAACTTTCATGCTTCCAAGACCACAAGGCACACTACCTCTGTCGCTGCCTGCCGCCGCCGCTCCATGTACTGGACGTCCATCTTATGTTGATGTGCCTTACTCCGATGTCAGAGGGCTTTGGACAGGGCCTAGGCCCCCGGGTAAGGCACCTTCTGCCTTTGGGAATACTCGGGAAACGGGCGTCTGAGATGCCGATGAACTGGATGGGTGTGTGGACGGATAGGGGACCAGGGGAGCGATCTACTGCGTAAGCACGCACGGCACAAGACAGCACGTGCGGGGCAGCCAACGTCTGAGAGACACCAAAGAAAGTTGAGAGGTTAAGAGAGGTCAGCCAGGTAGGCACCTTCGGAAGACATGGCCAAGAGGGTGTGTGAGGTGCCGCGGGCATATTACTATGTAGGCGACCAGGCAGGCAACGTGCGGGTTCTTTCGCCGTCTGATATCTGGTTCTGAACTCTAATGACTCCCGCCATGCCGGCTCCAGGAAGCAAAGTGCCTTGATGATTGACGATGATGGAAATCAGTAAGGATCGGCGTGGCAACACGAAGGCCGATAAGTTGTGCTATACTAGCCCGCCCTAACCTATTTCTCACGATAGGAATACACAACGTAGGGTTGGTTTGTTTAGTTGTGAACAAGAGCGGGGCGTGGGATAGTAGAGAGAGGGAGGCGTTGATGAAAACACGTGCATTTATGATCCGTAAAGCTTAGGTTGAGAAAAGGGACTAGGCTAGGCTGGCTTGGAAATCGGGACATGAGCGTGTATTTCGAAGAAGCGAGAGAGTCCACAGCTTCGACTATATCGGGCTTGCAGTGTGCAGATACACTACTACGTACAAAACGTTCATTTAGCTGGCACAGTGAGGACACTGATTGCGGGTAGACGAACACGTCCAGACTTCATGGAGCGGGATCCAGAAAATGGGAAACGTCGCGCGGCGGGTAGCCCCACTGGTGGATGAGGCTGGGGGGTAGGAGGAGGAGGGCCTAGAGGGGACGTTGAAAAGGCGGTGATGATGATGTTTTGATGCGAATACGCTGTGCAGCGCCCGCCAGCCCACTTGGGCACCTGAGATCGCATGCTGCGCAGCGAGAGCGAGCGAACGAGAAGTGTCTTTGGCTGACGACGCCGTCGGGTTACCGTAAAGGGTCGCGATTGATAGTCCATGCTGCTACTGATTGTAGTGTTAATTGGATGCTTGAGGACGGGCCAAAGTGGATATTGAGTGGGAATGAGTTGAGGCCCTTG